AAGACTAAACTCGGTGACATTTGAAATGTTAAGACTAAACTCGGTGACATTTGAAATGTTAAGACTAAACTCGGTGACATTTGAAATGCCTAAACAAACTCGGTGACATTTGAAATGCCTAAACAAACTTTGATGACACCAGAAATGTGTTAACACAAATATATGACATTAACTCCTTGAAATGTTTATTTTGAATTCCTAGTCCATAAGCATAATAAATCTATATACCGGAGCTGCCACATTTTTGTTATGTTATGTTGTCTACTTTTTTTCCTACTTTTTTTTAATCCACGCTGCAATCATTAGCTTGAGTAAATATTGAACGTTAGGGTTAGATGGGTGTTAATTAATATTGTTAATTAAAATAAACCGTTAAAAAATAAATTCCACAGAAAAACAAAATTCGGAAAGAAAAAAGTGTGCTCATACGAAAACATGCTTCAACCAGAAATCCCCCCCATCCTTCGCCCCAAGATAACATGCTTCAACCAGAGATCCCCCCTTCCTCGCCCCAAGATAACATGCTTCAACCTGAGATCCCCCTCCCTCGCCCAAGATAACATGCTTCAATCAGAGATTCCCCCTTCCTCGCCCCAAGATAACATGCTTCAACCTGAGATCCCCCTCCCTCGCCCAAGATAACATGCTTCAACCAGAAATCCCCCTCATACGCCCCAAGATAACATGCTTCAACCAGAGATCCCCCTCCCTCGCCCAAGATAACATGCTTCAACCAGAGATCCCCCCTCCCTCGCCCCAAGATAAACACACGGGCAAATAATGAAATGACACCACCCAAAATGTATTTCTACACTTGTTAATAACTTGAAAACTCGATAGTGTATACCAGGGGTCGGCAACCTGCGGCTCGCGAGCCGCATGCGGCTCTTTGGAGGTCAAGATGCGGCTCTCCAGTTCCATGCACTAATCTTAATAATTAAATTATCTTATTTTCAAAACGCATTAAAATATAAAGAAACTCTTATCAGAGAACAGTGAGAATAGGTGAGGTAGAAAGTATATGGACAGCTGACAACCGCTTGGGAACTAGTTCCAGCCCCACAGTTGTGTAGTGACCAGCCCCGTGGCAACAATTCCATGTTTGCCACTGCCCAAGTGCCGACTTTTTCGAATATGGTTAAATGGGGAATGTTTTTTTTTATAGGGAATGCATCTCCCTATCTGTCAGTATTCATTAATTTGACGCAGTTTTTTTTTAAGTTATGAACTTCTTACGGTTGAGCTGAGTACTGGACGGTGGGTACGAGTTAACCCTGCGTTCAGTGGAGTGGAAGAAAAGCCTGGTGAGAACCAAAGGACAGAAGCAACCGATACAGTAATCACACCAAGCCAGTTAGTCGGAGTTTGTCGTGTTGAGTGCTGCCTGGCTAGGGAGCATGAGTGGTGTCCGTAAAGAAAGAAAAAAAAAAGTTATTGGCTTGTAAAGTGGATTGGGGTAATCTTATAGGCCTAGTTATATTATCTGATTACTAATTGTATCGTACCAGAGCTAGCTTTAATACTTTAAAATGTTGTGCGAAATATTTGTATGCTTTTTAATGAATAAATATTTTTTTCATATTTAATGCTATTTATTTCAAATAAAAAATCAAATTTATACATCTAATTCTAATCAAATGCCAACATATTGAAACAAAAATGTTAGTGGCTCTTTAAAATCTGGGAACATTTGTAAATTGTAACTTTTGGCTCTTCCGGCTCAAAAGGTTGCCGACCTTTGCCCTAGGGAATGCGCACCTGATTCAATTTAAACGACTCTAAAGCACCATCTTAAGCATAACATATCGCACTGTTTAGAACGAAAGTATGCGCCATTGCTTTCAAGGGAAAGCCTAGGGCGCTAAATCGCACCTTACGGGGACGCCGGAGGACGCGCCTGATTCAATTTAGTCAACGATTTCATGCATAGATCAAATAGGAAATTTAGACGTCCGTGAAATAATCATTAATGTTGTTAGTCCTGTTTATATCCTGCTAAGTATCGTAAAAACAAAACAACCCAGGTAGTATGGACATGTACCACGAGCTGTCTATTAAAAACCTTCATGCTTGGCTTGTGACAGGCGGGAGAATGAGTGGAAGGCATTGGTGAATTTGGATGGAGGACTTTAATGATATGGACTCGGCTGCCCGTTAGAAAAATGTTTAAAATATCAGAAGATATAATAAAAATATGGAAGAAAAAGAAGGAACATAATAAACCTGTGATCCCTTAACGACCATTCACCACCCCCACCCGTAATTCTTCGCGATGATTGGTCAATTGAACTTGACAGTCCATGACATTGGTGTCAGAATTACGACTGACTTAAGCCATGACTTAAGACCTACGTGTAGACCTATGTTAAAAGCTACACCTAAAGGCCGAGAAAAAAAAAATTCTCTTTCTCTCCTTTAAAAAAAAAACGAAGGGGGTTAACAAACAAAATAGTAATAATAATTTTACCATTTAATTCACACCTATTTCGTTAAATCAACTTAGTATTCCCCTGATTACAGTTTATGTAGCTAATAAAAATTAAGGTTTTCAAGTTACACTAAGAGAAAGAAATGTATAATCAATAACAACTATAGAATGTAGACAGTTATTCATTCAAAATGTACGCCCACAACCGGTGATGCTGAAGTAGTGTGGTTTCGTCCCTTTGCTCCACGAGGAATGATGAATATAATGATTACATATTTTACTGGGAGTCCTAGGCTGTATGTCGACTGGTTTTTGTGATCTTTAAATTTTTACTCGTTCGAAAATGTGTGAGGAAATGAATAGGGTAATTACAACAAAGTAAATCATATGCGACATTTATATATTTATACATATTATATAACAGCATAGGTAATATTTTATTATATATTTAATATGCTGCAATTACACTCACAAGTTAAAATTAAAAAAAAAATTGTTACTTTTAAAACGTGCATTTGTTGCTTCCATTTGTAAATTTTAAATTACCAAGGGAGATCACACAATTACGTTCTTAAATGTCTTGTAAATACCAATAGTTTCATTAGGTATACAATTATTCCTTTACGCGTTTATTTATATTTCTTATTTTCTAAAAGTAAATTATTTTTGTGATGCAATCCTTTACACTTTATATTTTTTTAATGATTTAAATCATAAACTTTTACGCTTAGTTTAGTTATAAAACCTATAACTTATTAACTACATAAAATTTATTTATAGAAACATTAAATTACCTCAATGTTTTGCTGCTTGTAAACTAAATAAGGTTTATTTTAAATTATTTCTTCTATTTTTCTTTCATGCCATCATTTTCGGTTTTCTAATGCTATAAAAATTCTGTAAAGGCTAGAGTGTATACCAGTAGAGTTAGCAGGTTGAGAAATTCTGATTTAGCAAAAAAATTTACAAGCACTATTATGTTTGGTAAAATAACAAACATGTTGTAATTGGCAAACTTAAGTATGTTTAAAATGAAATAAAACAAATGTGAATGAAACAAATTCACTTTTACTTTTTTTCTATTTGTGATGGCTCTAATACATTTTTATTTTAATAATTTTTGTACTAAAAGATACTTATAATGCATCTTTAATCAAATAATATCTCGCTCTTTAATATGAATTCAATTTTTTAAATTTCTATTTGCGATGGCTCTAATACATATTTTATTTTAATAATCTTTGTAAAAGTTTCCCTTTCAAACCTGACGGTCTATGGGGCAAGTGGAGTTCACTTGTTTCTGTGACCTCGGCATATGAAGAGATAGTAATAATCTTTGTACTAAAAGATAATTATAAAAATAGAATGCATCTTTAATCAAATTATATCTCGCTCGTAATGTATTTTGCTTCCAGGTATATTTTTTTATTGATACTATTTTCGTTATTTAACAAAATTTTAAAAACTTGTTTACAGAAAATCGAGAATTAAAGGATTCATCTGTGTATTGTATTGTTCCTAATGTCTGACAGTTGTCAAAAATTTGACAGTTCACATTGTTTGGGTTTCCGTACGGCTTTGCTGATATTCTGGTCGTCAATGGACGCGTTGGTGGTTGCTATAGAAACGTCAGTGGAACATGGTGTCGCTTGTCGATTTTTCTACCCTTATCTCTATTAGGGTTATTAGGATTAGGATTAGGGTTTGGCATAGGATCAAGATAAATGTTAAGGTCAAGGCGAGGATTTAACATAGGATTAGGGTTGAGTGGCCGGAAAAATAGTTTTGAATACTCATAACGAAGGTGAGAGTTTTTCAGGCTATTTTACATCGGCTGTAATGTTTAATTTAATTGTGACACTTGTCACTTGTGTATACCATTTGTTGTGACACTTGTGTATACCATTGTTGTGACACTTGTGTATACCATTTGTTGTGACACTTGTGTATACCATTGTTGTGACACTTGTGTATACCATTGTTGTGACACTTGTCACTTGTGAATACCATTTGTTGTGACACTTGTGTATACCATTATTGTGCCACTTATGTATACCATTGTTGTGAGACCTGTGTATACCACTGTTGTGACACTTGTGTATACCATTATTGTGCCACTTATGTATACCATTGTTGTGAGACTTGTGTATACCACTGTTGTGACATTTGTGTATACCATTATTGTGCCACTTATGTATACCATTGTTGTGAGACTTGTGTATACCACTGTTGTGACACTTGTGTATACCATTATTGTGCCACTTATGTATACCATTGTTGTGAGACTTGTGTATACCACTGTTGTGACACTTGTGTATACAATTATTGTGCCACTTATGTATACCATTGTTGTGACACTTGTGTATACCATTGTTGTGACACTTGACACTTGTGTATACCATTGTTGTGACACTTGACACTTGTGTATACCATTGTTGTGACACTTGTGTATACCATTGTTGTGACACTTGACACTTGTGTATACCATTGTTGTGACACTTGACACTTGTGTGTACCATTGTTGTGACACTTGTGTATACCACTGTTGTGACACTTGCCACTTGTATACCAGATGACGGAGCACTGCTAGCTGAGGTCCCATGGAGCTGTACCAATGTCTTCTGCTGACGTGTATCTTCATTCTATTCATCAGAGGTGAGTACATCATTGTGTTACCTTTTTTGTGAGGGTGAGTAGTGGCTGTTGTTGATTGGGTGAGGTTTTCTATTGTTGGTGGTTGTAAATTGGGTTAGTAAAATGTTTGTTGGTGATATTTGATTTGTTGGTGATTGTAAATTGGGTGAAGTGTTAGTGTTGGTGATTGTAGAATGGGTTAGCAATGATTTTTGTTGACTATAGAATGGATGAGGTATTATCGTTGGTGATTGTAGATTGGGTGAAGTTTTAGTACTGGTGACAAAATTTAATGATGTATTATCTTTGGTGATTATAAATTCGGTGATATTCGATTGTTGGTGATTGAGTGATATTTGGTGAGCATAAAATATTGCCAATCCACCCTCACATATAACGCTATGAAGTTTTCGTACTGCCCTCATCAGCTGAATACAAACTCGGAATGTTTCAACTGTTGCAAAAGTCGAAGATTTTATTTTCTTGTTTATCTGGCTGTGTTGGTTGACAGCACATGTCCAACATGTTAGGTAAATGTCCCTTGGGTCACCAATACATGTCCAACATGTTAGGTAAATGTCCCCGGATCACCTGTATGTCCAACGTAAATATCCAACATGTTAGGTAAATGTCCACGGGTCACCAATACATCTAACGTAAATGTCCAACATGTTAGGTAAATGTCCACGGGTCACCAATACATCCAACGTAAATGTCCAACATGTTACGTAAATGTCCCTTGGGTCACCAATACATCTAACGTAAATGTCCAACATGTTAGGTAAATGTCCCTTGGGTCACCAATACATGTCCAACATGTTAGGTAAATGTCCCCGGATCACCTGTATGTCCAACGTAAATGTCCAGCATGTTAGGTAAATGTCCCGAATCACCTGTATGTCTAAGGTAAATGTCCAACGACCTTGTTTCCAGAGAGTCTCCAGGGCCAGCACGAGCGCCAGTTGCTGAAGGCGCTGTTTGAGGAGGGCAACTACAGCAAGCTGGAGCGGCCAGTGGACAACGACACGGACCCCATAGACGTCAAGTTTGGCATCATCCTACAGCAGATCATTGACGTGGTGAGTCTGTTTTATCTAGTCCGTTAGTTGACTGGGTCTTGGTGAGTCTGTTTTATCTAGTCCGTTACTTGACTGGGTCTTGGTGAGTCTGTTTATCTAGTCCGTGTGTTGACATCCTACAGCAGATCATTGACGTGGTGAGTGCTTTATCTAGTCTGTTAGTTGACTGGGTCGTGGTGAGTCTGTTTGGCATCATCCTACAGCAGATCATTGACGTGGTGAGTCTGCTTTATCTAGTTCGTTAGTTGACATCATACAGCAGATCATTGATGTGGTGAGTCTGGTTTATCTTATCTGTTAGTTGACTATATCTTGGTGAGTCTGTTTGGCATCATCCTACAGCAGATCATTGACGTGGTGAGTGTGTTTTATCTACTTCGTTAGTTGACTGGGTCTTGGTGAGTCTGTTTGGCATCATCCTACAGCAGATCATTGACGTGGTGAGTCTGGTTTATCTTATCTGTTAGTTGACATCCTACAGCAGATCATTGACGTGGTGAGTGCTTTATCTAGCCCGTTAGTTGACTGGGTCGTGGTGAGTCTGTTTGGCATCATCCTACAGCAGATCATTGACGTGGTGAGTCTGTTTTATCTAGTCCGTTATCTGGGTCTTGGTGAGTCTGTTTTATCTAGTCCGTGTGTTGACTGGGTCTTGGTGAGTCTGTTTTACTAGTCCGTTATCTGGGTCTTGATGAGTCTGTTTTATCTAGTCTGTTAGTTGACTGGGTCTTGGTGAGTCTGTTTGGCATCATCCTACAGCAGATCATTGACGTGGTGAGTCTGGTTTACTAGTCCCTTATCATATATCTCTTGGACATGGAGTCTAAATCGGTTGGCGGTATCAAAGAGTTCTGAAAGTAAGATACAAAATCTGTTAGCGTTACTTTAGTTTCTTGGCGCAGGATTTTAAATCTGTTGGCGTTATCTTATTAAGTGGGACATGGATTCTAAATCGATGAATCAATACCAATACTTTTAAACAGCTGTTTAGAATCTGTCATTCAAGTTTTAAAAAGACAAAATTGTAAGCATTCAAGGCACGGCGTATGAGATGTTTTGGATAGTTTATAGTGTATCTACATTAAAGAAAAAGAAAAGTTATTTCTTAACCATCTTTTATATTTATTAACTTTTCTTATTTTTAGAGTTAGTCAAAGATCGCAACTCTTTGAAAGTGTGTTGTGAAATTATGCTTATTGCCATTTTAATCTGAAGCTTGTTAGATTAAATTTAAGGAATTATTACATTTTGCAAGAGCTAAGTGTCAAAATTTTAAAAAAGTGGTTGAAAGTATTATACAATCTTCGGAGAAAATAACAGCATAATTCAAAGTAGCTTTGATCCTTTACTCGTTGAGTCAACTGACTCAATAGTATTAGACTCAGTAACTTCTCGACTCACACTGACTCTCTGCCTTGATGATTCCCATCTAGGTTTCCACGGAATATTATGTGCCCCATCCCCCCGATCCAGATTCAGAGACAATGCTATGTAACTTGCTTACAGTGACTCTCCAATGCTCGCCACGCAATAATGGACTCAACGTGACCATACTCACGTGACTCCCTAACCACACCCCGACCCCTAGACTACGAATTTCAGCATATGACCCCCTCCACCAACAATTTGCAAGCAGCGAGCTTTGTGACCTGTTGTCGAACACACCCAGTTAACCTTTAACCTGTCCCGTTGACCTTTGACCTGTCCCGTTAACCCTTGACCTGTCCGCGGCTGTCAGGTCATGCCAAGACATCTCAACAGGTGATGGAGAGGAATCTTTAAGGACATCTCCACGCCAACCCACGGGGCATCCCCACCCCCACCCACGGGGCATCCCCACCCCCACCCACGGGGGGCATCTCCCAGCTGCACTCGCCTCCACGGATTTCGTCAATACTTTAATCTTTTTCCAAGGGAATCAATATTTTTTTCTCCCAATCCTCGCTTCTCTCCCCTTTCCCTAGTAATAAGTTCACTAATGGACGATAATTTGAAGAAACCCACCGGCAGTGAACTGCCCCTACTTGTGGGGCGAGGTAGAGGCTTGTCGAATTTACAGCCTACAATCTCAAGCGCATCTGTCCTCACACGTCAAGGTGACGTCTGCTAAGTACTCCTCGTGTGTCTTTTCTCCGGGATTTTTTCTTCTATTCTCTGGTTCTGCTTTGTCCGTTTACAGCGAGGGAAGGGCCGATAGTTGAGGGGAGGGGGTGAGAGGGCAGGGAGGGAGGGAGGGGCTGCTAAGGGAAGAGGACTTACACCTCGAGTAGCTCATGGTGAGGAGAAACATTTGCAGATATATGAATTAATATACGTATACACTTACACACATACATGTGTAATTCAATACACGAATAGGCCTACACACATACATATATACATTATTCCAATAGAATTTTGATTCTGCATTTTGACGTGTATACGTTTTATTTTATAACATTTTTACTTTATCCATTATTCGTTAAATAATAATCTCTTTTTAAATCGTGGTTATAAAATAATATGATTAGAAGCAAGCTGTTTGATTCTCAGACGTATATATACAAAAATATTAAAAAAGCTTAAAATAAATTAAAACTTTAATGAAACTACGTCTCATTGCTAATGTCGGTTGAACATTCCAGAATCTTTACTTAAAATATCGCCTCCACAATTATCGATTAAATGATCAATATATAGAAATGAGAATCTTCCTGTGCATATCTTTCTTTCTATAACGAACTAGGATGTTTCAGCTATGGCGCTGTTCAACGATTTCTCCACAGTATTACTGTCAGCGATACAGTTTAAATCATTTCATTGTTGGATTATTCTTAAGTTCAACAACATTGTTAGATTATTCTTAAGTTCAACAACATTGTTGGATTATTCTTAAGTTCAACAACATTGTTAGATTATTCTTAAGTTCAACAACATTGTTGGATTATTCTTAAATTCAACAACATTGTTGGATTATTCTTAAATTCAACAACATTGTTGGATTATTCTTAAATTCAACAACATTGTAGGATTATTCTTAAATTCAACAACATTGTTAGATTATTCTTAAATTCAACAACATTGTTAGATTATTATTTTCAAGCTTGCTGAACAACTAGTATATGAACCACCAATGTGATTATAACGCGGACTGCAGCGAGGCATACAACATACACAAGTTCTGGGGATTTTCTGAAGGAAAACAAACATAAAAAATATCTAATCGAGATTCCTCGAGATTTCTCCAGCCACAAAAAAGGGGAGTGTGTCCGGTACGAGGGGACGACGGGACGACCAGCAAACACAAGTTTTCGCACCGCTGCTGGAAATCTCTGGAACAAATTTGTAGACCGTTTCGTGTCAGGGAACACGTGACAGGTGAATAGAGACGCTTGATGACGTGGCCGCTTGCTGTCAGTCACGTGGTTAGAGTACGGAATAAACGGGAAAAGCGGGAAAAGCGGGAAGTTTTCTAGAGTTTGGGAAACAGGTTCTAGGGCTTTTTTGAAAGGTTCTGGAGTTTGTGAAAGGTTCTAGAGTTTGAGAGGGGTTCTAGGGTTTTTAAAAGGTTCTAAACATTGTTAAAGGTTTTGGAGTTTGAAAAGGGTTTTGAAAGGTTATATACATGGTCAAATGTTCTAGAGTTTGGGAATCAAGTTCTATGTTTTTTTTAAAGCTTCTATACTTGGTGAAAAATTCTTGAATTTGAGAAATGTTCTAGGGTTTGGGAAATGAAGTTCTAGAGTTTTTAAAGGGCCCTAAGCCTCAGAAAAGTTTATGGTATTAGAGAGTGGTTCTCAAGTTTGAATAAAAAGTCCTTGAAATTTTAAAGAGTTCTAAGCTTCCAGAAAAATTCTGCAGTTTTGAAATTGTTTTTGGTTAGGGATGTAAAAAAATTTTTTCTTTGAAAATTTGGCATTTAAATTTCACTTCCTCTACAAAACACTACAAAATTAGCAAATGGAAATGCGTTAAATGTGAATGTAGGTTCTTTTCCTTAAGGCACCATTCCTCAGACCCTCAATGTATCAGAAAATATTTCACTGACTCGTGCCTAATCTGAAAGGAAAGTAACATTTTAAAGATTTTAAAATACACATCATAATTGTAAAATTTAATTAAGAGTTGATAATACATTAAAGATTTGATTGAATTAAAAATATTGATTCGGCTTGCCCACGAAAACAATCGGCTGTTCTTGAAATCTTTAAAACTTCATTCTCAACGGAAATTAACATTTATTGAAAAAAAAGATAATGATTCGATTTACAGAAATGGTCAATGCTGAGCTAAATAAATCGCTTAATAACATTCATCAACTTTTCCCGTTCGTGCCCAAGACATATGGGACAGAAGAAGTAGAGTTTATCTGTTTCACTGACCTCGGCTCATGAGAGGGTAGATTGGTCAGCACTATGCCCACCTGCCTTGATTTTCCCTAATGTCAGTAAGGTACTCATTAGAGCTGGATAGACTCGCATTTGCTCTACTGACTTGTACCCGGATTCGAAATCAAGACTTTCTGTTAGCAGTCTACCGCCCTACAGCTAGGCCACGCCATTCCATTATATAAAATTACTTAGTTTTAAATATAAGAAAAAAAAGGAAATGCTTATATTACAGAGCGAAAGAAGTGAAAGCCTCACAACCTCTCTTTGGCTTAGACTGGTAAGCAAAGTTGCATCATGGGAGTAGGGTTGTACACATAGCATGCTTCGCGGCCATCTTGCATGACGTCACAGATGTAATTACACAATTAACAACAGCTGTGTGTCCTGTCTGTTCCTCGTGTTGTATTGCATTGAATGTATGGAGGCAAAAAACTTTTATTAGCACGGTTTATTTACTAGCTTAACACGTTAAACATATGTTTTTATAATAAATCTCGTACCATATGTCATACTTGTATTAATTACTTGTAAATATATATATATATATATATATATATATATATATATATATATATATATATATATATATATATATATATATATATATATATATATATATATATATATATTTAAAGGTCTAAATATATATAATTTAAAACCTCTTCATGTTAGTGTGACTACAATTAATCCAATACCTAGGGGGTAACCTTGTGGCCCAGGAGATTATCTGATTATCCAAGGGGTAGCCGTATAGCCCAGTACATTCTGTGAGTACCCAGTCGGTAGCTGTGTGTTCCACTACACAAAATGCCCATATGGAACCATATGGCCTCTGACATAATTAAACAAACACAGCTGATCGCTATCAGCGACACCTGTCGGCTGAGGCCCGCACCAGGTTGTAAAATATGACCGCGTTCTGCCACCACTGGTATGGGGCCAGCACTATGTACTTAAAGACACCATAAAGCTAGACTCGGTAACACGTAGGGCGAGGTGTTGTATTTTTTTAGTTGGTACTGTGGACATATCTTAACAAAATCCGGACCGAGTCTTGCATTATTATTTAATTTCAGTGTCTCTGTTAACTGATGTATTTTATAACTCCCCCATACACTGTATTTCCCCTCCACTGTATCTATTTTGGTACCTGGGCAACCACCTGCATCCCGTCACGAACGGGTCCAGTCCAATATATTTTGTCGCCAACCACACGCTGTTTATAATATATCCAGGTTGCCAAAACGTCATGTGGTTTTTCTAAAAATAGCCGTATTTGTTTAATATCCAATCCTTACAGCTTTGAACATCTGAAAATAAGCACAGGAAGTTGGGCTTGTATTAAAACAAAAATTAAAAGATTGATTGTTTACTAAGTAAACTTGCAGGTTATGAGTTTCTACCTTCATTATTTTATATTGTTTTAAAAAAATAAACTCACGATCTTTTAGCTCCCAAAGCATGGTTTAAAAATGTCACTGCTACATGCTAGGTTTCTAATTCGCCATGTTGACATTCCATCGAATGATTGACAGGGGGATGAACCTATCATAGACACGACCCCACCCCCACCTTTGTAATGCTATATACCTGCATGCTAACACTATCCTTTCATTAACAGGACGAAAAGAACCAAATCATACACACTAATATTTGGCTTAATCTGGTAAGTAATCAATCAGAAAATAAAATCATACTTAGTTTGCAATCATTCTTGAAGACTAGTTTTTTGCATAGTTTTTGGACTATAAAAATAAATTAAAACAATTAAAAAAAAACTACGAAAAAAAGCAATAACTAAATCACAACAATAGAAGTTTCGATCTTGGGTCATCATCAGAAAAAAAAGCAAAAGACAGTTCATATGGCACAATTTGACTGTTTTTGTTTGATTTGGTTTTTCTTCATTAAGAGATTGTCGAATTTAAAAAAAAATCATTTTTGTATTTGTTAAAACTTTTAAAAATTGTACAAAAAAAAAACAACAACAAAACAAAACAGGCTGAATTTTTGAGTCTAGTTTTTGATACAAATTTCAGCTTAGCTGACTTAGACATTGTAATTTTTTTTAACCCTATGTAATCCACCTTATATATGTTGTTGCTACTAACTTTTTATCTTTTTTTATAACATATTTATATATCCAATACTACCTGCATGTGAGGTTTTGGGATTTAATTGTAAAACTTTTGTCTGCAGATTTGATTTCTAATTAGTTAATTACATTAAAAATTCTTAAATTAATATAAATAATATCTTAATTATTTAGCCTTAACTAAATTTAAAAAAAAAAAAAAACAACTTTCCATAAACGGATTTAGTCAGGTGTTGATAGCTACATTAAAAAACATTGACAGTCGTTTTGTTATTTAAAGGTGGTTAATTACTTTAGGGTTGATTGGGTAGCTGGAAATCTTGTCTTGACGAAAACATTTATTTTAAGAGATAGACAAGCTAAGACACAGCTTAAGCATATCGATTATTGTGCATTATTCAATCACTAAAAACTTGCAATACAATCATCGTCTTAAAACTTGCAATGCAAGCATCATATTACTCACAACTAACATAACCCTTTCAATCTTAAAGCTCTGGAAAGCCTCCAACTTAAAATGGAACAAAGAGGATTATGGGAACGTTTCCAGCATCCGAGTCCCCAAGCATATGGTGTGGGTGCCAGACATCTTGCTGTACAACAGGTGAGTGACGGACATCTTGCTGTACAACAGGTGAGTAACGGAAATTTTGCTGTACCGTTTTAACAACTGTGCCCCACACTCATAGACGCCATCTTAATTAGTGTTTCGCCATTAACTGCACGCCTTTAGAAAATATCACAGTAAAAATATGTACCAACAAAGAGACAATCATTTTGATTAAGTTGGCTCACGGTGACCTCTGAACTCGAGTGAACTCCTGCCTTTGTTGACCAATTATCCCCCTTGCTTGCGTCTTGATTTCGCGCTCGTGTGGATGCAAAGAGTTATCGCCCCGCAGCATTGTAAAGATTGGATCGGAAAAAAATGCCGGAAATATTTAATTCCCTGCTAATTGCAGGTAATGTTTACTCCGAGGTCACAAAACTTAATAACGGAATATGAGATTGTTCTGAAATTTCAACCATTTTTTATCATATCCGCGTAATTTCTGCCCAAAATGCAACTAGGTTGGGGCATACGCTGAAATATGCTCGTCATATTCACGTGTCTAGTACAAAGGGAAGAACAACATTTTAATTTTTTCACATACTTTTTTAAAAAGTGAAAGATTATTCAAAAGTTTTCTCTCTCTCGAGTTATTTTTACAAACTTTTATTGAACTTGCTTCCTCCCAATTCATGTCAATCGAGTCGAATTTTATTTGACTGAACACAAACCTCGACTTAACACATATCCCTGTGTTGCGACTGAGCCAAAGAACCAAATACCACACACTAGGGCGGTGTGTAAAATTTTGTTTCCTGCCCCACAGTGCCAGTGATGACTTCGACAACACCTACCCCACCAATGTCGTCATCAACAGCGAGGGGGAGTGTCTCTGGGTCCCCCCGGGCATGTTCAAGAGCACGTGCGCCATTGACATCACGTGGTTCCCGTTCGATGACCAGCGGTGTGAGCTCAAGTTCGGATCATGGACACACGAGGGGCGGTTGCTGAACCTTAAGCAAGACAACGACACGGGGGGCGACATCAGCAATTTTATCAGGAATGGGGAGTGGATGCTCATAGGTATGTATGGGAGGCGACATCAGCAATTTTATCAGGAATGGGGAGTGGATGCTCATAGGTATGTATGGGAGGCGACATCAGCAAATGTATCATGAATGGGGAGTGGATGCTTATAGGTATGTATGGGAGGCGACATCAGCAATTTTATCAGGAATGGTAAGTGGATGCTCATAGGTATGTATGGGAGGCGACATGAGCTGTTTTATAAGGGGGAGTGGATGCTTATAGGTATGTATGGGAGGCGACATCAGCAATTTTATAAGGGGGAGTGGATGCTTATAGGTATGTATGGGAGGAGATATCAGCAATTTTATCAGGAATGGTAAGTGGATGCTCATAGGTATGTATGGGAGGCGACATCAGCAATTTTATAAGGGGGAGTGGATGCTTATAGGTATGTATGGGAGGCGACATCAGCAAATGTATCATGAATGGGGAGTGGATGCTTATAGGTATGTATGGGAGGCGACATCAGCAAATGTATCATGAATGGGGAGTGGATGCTTATAGGTATGTATGGGAGGCGACATCAGCAATTTTATAAGGGGGAGTGGATGCTTATAGGTATGTATGGGAGACGACATCAGCAAATGTATCATGAATGGGGAGTGGATGCTTATAGGTATGTATGGGAGACGACATCAGCAAATGTATCATGAATGGGGAGTGGATGCTTATAGGTGGAATGGGGAAAAGACAACGAGAACGTTTAATCATTACTGGATTTACAGCAGTAACAGACCTCCTCCACCAGATACTGTCACAAATACAAACCTCACTAACTCTAACCATAAATGTAATATGATCTCAATCTAAAAAACATTGTATACAATGTTTATGAAGAATGGGTACCTGTGTTGAACCTTCTACAAGTGTGTCCGTGTTCTCATGCGTAGTAAACGTTCAACATGTGTGCAATTAAAAATTAACATGAACGCCCACGTGCGTGTTAAACCTTTAGGTGTGCCATTTAACCTGAACGCCTTCTTATTTTAAACCTCAGGTGTGCCAGTCAAGCGTAACGTCCTCGCCTACGAATGTTGTCCGGAGTTCTACATCGACCTGACCTTCACCATCCACATCCGACGCCGGACCTTGTACTACGGCTTCAACATCATCATCCCGTGCGTGCTCATCTCCTCCCTCACCCTCCTCCTCTTCATCTTACCGCCCGACGCGGGGGAGAAGATTTCCTTAGGTGAGTGCTCACCTGTGTGTTTGTTTTCATGTGGGGGGGGGGGGGGGGGTCACGTGGTTAGATTATTAAAATAGTCCGATAATTCAGCTTTGATTTTGGAGTTGAGCACGCGCGCCTGCTCACCTTTAAGTCACAGTTTGGTTCCTGTAAGGTCATCACGTGACCCAGCTACTGCCTATGTTTATAGAGGTGAAGGGGTGCACTGGGTGTAAACATCCGGTGGAATCAATCAGGTCATAATGGTGGGCAGTTGCTTTCCTGCATACTAAGCTACGGTTTTTGTATATACATTGTTCAATTCTATCCAATCAATGGAAAAAAACCAACAAAAACGTTTGGGTTTTAATAGCAGAAGAAAATTAAATTGAAATTTTGTGTTCGAAATTAACTTCGTTATATGGATTAAATAAAATTAATGTCCTATGTGAAAGAAACATTTATCAGAGTTTAAAAAGTTATCATGGTAGGCCTACATATTTAAAAACTGGAGGATTTTATAAGTCTGCGACAGTCATTACAATCTCAGGGGTTATTTGAGATTCCATGCTACTCTGGAGTTTTAAAGTTAGATTGGTCAACGTCTCCTTTGATGCTTAAATTTAAAGTAAAAACTGTGGTTATACAGTAAAATACTGCGGCTGATTTTTTTAGTCACGTCCCCTTAAAAGTGTAGTCTTATTCCTATAAAAGTGTATTTTTGTCCCTATAAAAGTGTAGTCTAGTCCCTATAAAAGTGTAGTCTTGTCCCTATAAAAACGTAGTTTTGTCCCTATAAAAGTGTAGTCTTGTCCCTATAAATGTGTAGTTTTGTCCCTATCAAAGTGTAGTCTTGTCCCTATAAAAGTGTAGTTTTGTCCCTATCAAAGTGTAGTCTTGTCCCTATAAAAGTGTAGTTTTGTCCCTATCAAAGTGTAGTCTTGTCCCTATAAAAGTGTAGTTTTGTCCCTATAAAAGTGTAGTCTTGTCGCTATTAAAGTGTAGTCTTGTCCCTATAAAAGTGTACTCTTGTCCCTATAAAAGTGTTAATTTCTCTATAAAAGTGTAGTCTTGTCCCTATAAAAGTGTAGTCTTGTCCCTATAAACGTGCATCTTGTCCCTATAAAAGTGTAGTCTAGCGCTATAAAAGTGTAATTTTCTCTATAAATGTGTAGTCTTGTCCCTATAAAAGTGTAGTCTTGTCCCAATAAAAGTGTATTTTGTCCCTATAAAAGTTTATTCCTGTCCCTATAATTTGAAAGAAAAGAAAAGGTTGTACATCAAATCCCTTCTCCAAACGTGCAATGTAGTTTTCCAACACAAAAACATTGAACACCAGATTTGTGCGAATGACATCGCGTTTTAATTAATTTAACCCTATCACCAGTGAACAGCAATACACTCTCCAATTTGTCGTTCCCATGTCCATCAAAGAATTTCATTTTTTACTTCATTAAAACACAACGTTTTTACGTTTGGAAGTGAAGACCTCACATGAATAATAACAAAAATGAAATGTCTGTTTAAATGTCCACCCAGACATACTTTGTGTGAGAAACTACATGTGTGGGAGACGAATGAAAACCGATATAATGCAGCGTTTTAGGGCCGTTTAAACACTAATCGTATAAACATTTTATAAAAAGAAACGTTATCTGAATGTCTAACCATTTTTTGGATGTAAATTCGATCAATACGCTCTACAATGGCTATTCAATTTTCCTAGTTTAGGAGTGTCGTCCCTTTCCCCCGAAATATTGAATCCAATAAAAGAAAACGATTTGAACTAGCGAGGGAGGGTTCATTATTTTCTTAAGAGAAAAATAATCAGGAAATACGCAGATAAATTCTTGTACTTTGCATTTCAAATGATTCGACTTGTAGCTTCTAGTATTCGCCCAGACAGAATTAGAGGAAATTAAAATACTGACATTCTGGTGTATGCTAGGTGGGAGCAGCCTGTAATGATGAGGACAGAGAGTATTTTTATTGTAACATGTAACATGAATAACGTTAATTCAACTAACTATAGGCCTACATACAAATTTAATTCTAATGTGAATTTTAAAATCACGTGATATATTTCAGATAAACTGCTTATACATACATTATATATATATATATATATATATATATATATATATATATATATATATATATATATATATATATATATATATATATATATATATATATATATATATATATATATATATATATATATATATATATATATATATATATATATATGGAAGCTGGACTTGTGTTCATAAATGGAGTTTTGACATGTCCAGATTTCTAGTATCATTTGGTTTATGCTAGCACAAGTTTAGTGCTGAGCTGACTCGGTTCTATTTTCTTTGACCAGGTGTGACCATCTTGCTATCTCTGATGGTGTTTCTGCTACTAGTGGCTGAAACAATGCCGCCCACTTCTGATGCTGTTCCACTCATAGGTGAGTACACATCTAGACACGGGTAGGTGAGTACCAGAGGCGTATCCAGGTTTTCGTTGTAGGGGGAGCGAAAAGAACAAAAAAGGCGCCGAATTTTTAACACGTTCTATATACGTGTATTATATATATATATATATATATATATATATATAGCTGTATGTCATTAATTCGCTATGATGTAAAATAAATTGAAAGTAGCACTCTGACGAAATAAGAAAAAACACACAATGTTGGCCGACAAAACAAAAATTGTATCAATCTAAACAATGTATATATATATATATATATATATATATATATATATATATATATATATATATATATATATATATATATATATATATATATATATATATATACACTACAACCAAAAACAAAAAAAAACAATGAACGTAACTCAATCTGTTTTGTAATTCTTGTAAACAAAATTTCTTACATAATAATTCCTGGGAAATTATTTAAGACAAGGGAAATAGGGGAAATAATCACTCTCTTGATATAAATATGTATATATTTACACATTTAATTGTAAATGTCAATACAAAAAAATAATTACTTTAGAATACAATGAAATTGTTTAAGACTATTTGTGTTTACAAAATGTTTTTGTCTATAATCAGAATTTAATATATCGTCATCATAAATGCTAAAGTATTACAGCATAATGAAAGTTTTTAAAATCAGAGTTGGTATAAAACCACGCTTTTCGATACATAAGACTAAACTTCTTCCTAGAAAAAAATAATTTACTGAGTCTTAACCAGTCAGGCTTCAGAAAAAATCGAAGTACAGTGGACCAGATACTTCGACTGGAAAGCGACGTCAAGGCTGCCACCAAAAAAAGGGAACACACAGTAGCCATTTTTCTCGACGTGGCCAAAGCCTACGACACCTGCTGGACATGGGCGATAACCCACAAAATTAAAAAATTAGGAATAGGAGGCCCCCTACTTAGTTATATAACAGACTTTCTATCAGACAGAATGATGCAGGTCAGGGTAAACGACCAATATTCCAACACATACAAGCTAGAAAATGGAATACCCCAGGGCTCGGTCATTGCCCCCACACTATTCTCCATCATGGTGAACGACCTAGATAGGGAATTCATGGACGTAAAGAACTCCCTGTCCCAATATGCTGACGACTCCTCCACATGGCGTTCAGGCAAGTCCATTACTAAAATTAACAGGGAGTTACAGGCTCAGTTGGATACAATGATGGAGTGGATGTACCAATGGGGTTTCAAGATAAACGCAGCCAAAACAGTGGGAATGGTCTTCACTCACAAAAAATCACGCACCATCACCAAACAGGTCTCACTAAAAATTAACAATACAGTCATAAAAATAGCCCAGGCCACAAGGTTCCTAGGAGTCACCCTTGACCCCATGCTGACCTGGAACACACATATAGAAGGCATAGCACAAAGCTGCAAGGGTATGCTCAATATGATGAGATACCTAAAAGGTCACAGCTGGGGTGCCAGGACTGAGTGCCTGTTAACCTTCTACAAATCATTTGTAAGGGGCAAAATAGACTATGCCAGCATAGTCTATGACTCGGCATCAGACTACACAAAAAAAACCCTCGACAAAATACAGAACCAGGCCCTTAACATAATTGCCGGTTGCAATAGTAGTACTTCCAAAGAAGCCCTAGAGGTCCTCCTGGGAGTAATCCCCCTCTCACTCCGCAGGAAGGAACTCAGGCTAAACTACTGGGCCAAAGTAAAACATCAAAACCACCCAACCTCAGCGGCCTTCCTACCAGTGCTACCCAGGGCATGGGGAATCCCCATTGGGAAATTCAGCCCCCCCCGCCAGCTGGAAAACACCGGGGGAACTGGAATCCTGCAACCAAACCTCAATCGCGAATCAAAACTTAGTCATCCACAAACCTATAGTCCCCCCCTGGGAACTGACATCCCCAGCATTACACACAGACCTGCACAACCAGATAAATAAAAAAGAGGACCCAGTAATGGCCCGTATTGAGGCTTCAAATGAGATAGAAAGGATAACAGCCAACAGCCTAACCATCTACACAGACGGATCAAAAATAAACGAGAAAGTGGGAGCAGGGTTCCACATCCCCCACCTCAACCACTCCAAAAGCTTTAGGCTGACAGACGGCGCCTCCATTTTCACTGCCGAACTAACGGCCATCCTTATGGCCCTCGAGCACACCCCAACAACCCCACATACCAGCATCAGCATCTTATCCGACTCCCTGTCAGCATTACAGGCCATTAAAGGGGGAGAATGCTGCAGGGACGACATTGCAGAAGAAATTCTTCATAAATGCTCCGAGTGGAAACAAAGGGGTCGCTCGGTGCAAATGATCTGGATTCCCTCCCATATCGGCATACAAGGTAACGAGAATGCCGACAAAGCTGCTAAAAAGGGAGTGGAATCCAGAGCTATTGTGAAAACGGGAATAGGCTATTCCGAAATGAAGGCTACTATAAAGAAACAAATAAAAGAAGAATGGATTCAAAAATGGAACGCAAGCGACAAGGGTAGGCACGCCCACAACATACTTCGACCACCCGACGGGAGACTGCAAGTTACAGAAGACCAACGGCCACCCATTAATAAAAAAATTACAAGGCTGCGTCTAGGTTCAGCCTCCTTCATTCACACAAAGAAATGGTGCCACACCTGCAATGAAATAAACACAATAGACCACTACCTAATACACTGTAAGGCATACAACAATCAAAGAAAAGAACTCGTCAACTACTTCCAGACAAACAAAAACACATTACTAACAACAAAAACATTACTGGCTATGGACGCCCCATCCACTCTGCATAGCCTGTTAAAAACATATGTGCACAAAACCAAAGAATCAGTCTAATAAGCTGTAAAGATAAAATAATATTCACCCAATAACAAAATACAAATCCCGCACAATAAAAAAACTACACCCAAAAATGAAAGGAAAACAAATGAAACCAAACAGTATATACACAAAAACAACGAACTAACCACCAAAAATAGTCTGCGATATAAACGTAAGTTTGAAAGCGGACTTTAAAATCCCAAAACAACAACAACAACAACATAAGAACAACATTCGGAATAACAGCCTACATATAACTGAATATCGGTCTTTCAGTACTAATTCATATATTTCAATTATGTACTGCTTCTTTGTGTTCTTTAAAGATCATTTTTTTAAACATAGTGATAGGTATGGGTTAGATCACTGTATTGATCACACACCTTTTTACTGGTAATTTCAAAAACAATATTCACAGAGTTTTACGTTTAAAAAGCTAATTTTCTGGCGGCATGGTACTATGGTACATCATTACGCGTTCTCTACATGTACTTAACAGATCACTTCGGGGTGGGTAGGGGGGGGGGGGGGATGGGTTCAACTTCATGCACCACTGTCCGTTCACTTTAGGTCAATTATCCAACCCAGTGTATACCTAGGTGTGACATTAATGTCGCTCTACACAACTGTGGTGGTGAGGTGTGGGGGTGGGGTGGGGGTGGGGGCGGGGGGGAGATAACCAACTCAGAGTGAACATAGCATCAGTTTTTAGATGACTGTTCTAAACATACATATATATTACACAAATATATATTACACAAATATAGATTTAAATAAGTAGCAGTGGTATTATGACAATAATTTTTTTACAGAGGGGTCCATGGGGGAGGGGGGGGGGGGGGTTGTAACTGTTTCATATAATTTGTAATCGTAATCCCAACTGTTTCTGTATTGTAGTTTTTTTTTTTAAATTAATCACACGATTCAAACTGTATATATAAAGTAGTTATGTGTGAAGTTTTATGTATAACATTTTCTAATTCAATTATTCGTAAGCAAATACATTATACAGTTGCCTTAAACTTAACACCCCTCTTGCCAAGTGGTACTACCGTAGAGGTATTTTAAACATTGCAATACATCGTAATGGTTATTTTTAGAAAGGTAAACTGATGCAGCTGTTAATACGTGTTGTAAACGTAGACACTACTAGACTAGAACAATAATGCTTAATTGCTGCATGAAAAGAAATCTTTTGATTTACATAGATGTGCCGACCAAAAATATTTTTTTAACAAATATCATTGTTTAAAACTTTGAATTTAAAAAGTTTCCAAAAAGGCGCCACTTTGCTGAAAATGGCCAGAGGGGGAGCGGCCGCTCCCCCTGCTCCCCCCCTGCGTACGCTACTGGTGAGTACATACCTGGGTAGGTGAGTACACACCTTTACAATGGTAGGTGAGTACACACCTGGGTAGGTGAGTACACACCTGGGTAGATGAGTACACACCTGGGTAGATGAGTACACACCTGGGTAGATGAGTACACACCTGGTTAGGTGAGTACACACCTGTGTAGGTGAGTACACACCTGGGTGGGTGAGTACACACCTGGGTAGGTGAGTGAGTACACACCTGGACACTGGTAGGTGAGTACACATCTGGGTAGATGAGTTAAGTTTACATTCATAGATAAATATACAAACTTGAACCAACTGCTTAGAAACATTATATAGTAAATCATTTTTAAAAAAGCGATTTGTTCCACCATTAAAGTTTGATTATCCAAAACGCCTAAATTAAACTAAAACCCAACCTGTCGATTTCAGATGACCCCCAAGCACTAAAATTTAGGATCAGCCCGTCCATTGAAGAAAAAAAAATAACCGGAACAATTACTATTTAGGAACCCAACCGGTCGCATTGTGACCTAACCAAACCTTAACCACGGTCAACGGACCCAAATATTTACCCCACGTCCTAACCTAGCCGTTAAACCGGGCGGTATTGACCGGGTCCCTGGTTCGGTCAACACAGCCAGTTGTCCGCTGTTCGGGTCCAGCTCGCGGGATCAGCCGGGGCTTCATTGAGCGGGACTGGGCAGCAGACAGACATAAACACGCGGCGGGCAGGTCGATGATCGTGTTAGCATCGAGCCGGTCGACCACTTCATGTCCGGGCCGGACAGGGCTCGGCTGGTCTCCGTGGCTAACGGCGCAATCTGAGTGTCGTTAAGTCAATACTGGTTTACGTCTGCTGGGGGAAGGGGTGGGGGCTGGTTCTTTAAACGTCACACACAGCCTGGGTCGGGTCCTGTTGAACAGCAGGGGCTTTGGTTGTATGGTGAGGCTTTTGTTTTGTTTTATACGTTGAGGGCTTTGTTTGTATGTGAAGGCTTAGGTTGTATGTTTTATACGTTGAGGGCTTTGTTTGTATGTGAAGGCTTAGGTTGTATGTTTTATACGTTGCTTTTGTTGTACATGTGTGGCAAAGGGTGTTCTTGAATTCATGTAGTGTAGGGTTTCTTATGTATGTATGATATAGGGTTTTTATGTATGTATGGTATAGGGTTCCGTATGTATGTTTGGTATAGGGTTTCTTATATATGTATAGTATAGGGTTCCTTATGTATGTATACATGGTATAGGGTTCCTTATGTATGGTGTAGGGTTCCTAATCTATGAATGGTGTAAGGTTCTTTATGTATGTATGGTGGGGCCGGACGTATTACCGAAAGACACTTGCCCGAATTTCGTTTGCCCGAATGCTGATTTCCCGAATTGACACTTGCCCATTCGGGCATTGGTCGTAGCCCCGTAGTGTGGTTGATTAATAAGAATGAGTCACCAAATGAGGTTTTGTTAAAACATGAAAAGACTTTTCCTGTTGGTATACTAATTATAATTTTGTTTTAAAAACCTACGGGCGCTTCTCGTAAATAGTGAAAACTAAAAAGGTTTAACTTTTATATACATTATTTACGACTTTATTTATAGAAATATTAAAAACTCATATTTTTCATATATTTTTAAAAATGTTTTTTGTAGTGCAATTGTTTTTTTTCTTAAACCGAAGTTTTACAGGGCAAAGTTCAAAGGTTTAGGTGTGGGTGTAGTATTTGACCTAGATGTCGATCAAAACATCCGTTTTCATCTAAAATCAAACAGATAAAAACATAAACCTCTACGGGCTGTTGAAAAGTTCAAAGCCCATATCTCCTGTAGCTCCCCTCTATAATATAATCCTAGAGGGTCAAAGTTCAACTTTAAATAGACACAGACGCAACATGCGTCCGTGTGCACTGACAGTAATCTTCCATCGATCTATCGAAACTGTAGTTCACACGTTACACGTTACACACAGCAAAGACATCCAAAAACTTCTTGGTCCAACAAACAAAGTCCACATTTTTTTGCACCAAAATGCTAATTTAACGTGATAACATGTTATAGATGTTTTAAGCTAACTTGATATGTATCTTCTCTCTCCTGTCAGGCATCTACTTCGCTTGTATCATGGTCATGTGTTCCCTGTCCATTGTTTTCACTGTCATAGTGCTCAACTTCCACTATCGCTCTCCTGAAACACATACTATGCCTAAATGGGTAAGCAGACTGCATATGACTATATATATATATATATATATATATATATATATATATATATATATATATATATATATATATATATATATATATATATATATATAGGGCCTATATATATATATATTTTTTTTTTTTTTAAAAAGATTTTAGTTTTTATTATACACTGAAATAAAATCATGCTCTCGGAGAAAACTCTCGAATGAATGAAATCTTATTTAATCAGGTGAAATATTCCGTGTGTGGCTGGTTGGCGTGGCTGTTGAGGATGAAGCGGCCAGGCGGAAGTACCACCATCAGGTCACTGAGTCAGCGCGCGCAAGTCAAGGACATCAAGCTGGAGGAGAAGTCCCGCAGTCTGATGGCCAACGTGCTGGACATGGAGGATGATCCCAGGATGGTCAACGGCAACACCGCCGGCTTTCTGCTCAAAGTAAGACTTTCTTAGCAACATAAGACTTTCTGCTCAAAGTAAGACTTTCTAACCTAAGTAAGACTTTCTGCTCAAAGTAAGACTTTCTAACCTAAGTAAGGCTTTCTAACCTAAGTAAGACTTTCTGCTCAAAGTTAGACTTTCTGCTCAAAGTTAGACTTTCTTAGGAAAACAAGGCTTTCTGCTCAAAGTAAGACTTTCTAACCTAAGTAAGACTTTCTGCTCAAAGTAAGACTTTCTTAGCAAAACAAGACTTTCTGCTCAAAGTAAGACTTTCTTAGCAAAACAAGACTTTCTGCTCAAAGTAAGACTTTCTTAGAAAAACAAGACTTTCTTATAAATGTAGGACCTTCTAACCAACGTAAGACCTGCTAACCAAAGTAAGACATTCTGTCCAAAGTAATACTTTTTCGAGAGCAAGAAATCACCACTTTATCAATGTTACCAATGCCCCCTCTCATTTCCCTCCAGACTACCAGGTATAGTCCACCTGCTTGGAGTAAGACTTTACCCCGTCAACCCGTTCCGTTCACAGACAATAATCCGGAGGGGGTGAGGCGGGGATATTGACAGGAGAGGGGGAGGGGCAATGTTCCCTCTAAGGACCAAGAGTGTGTGTGCAAAAAATATGTTGTGTGCGCGGTGCTAAAAATGACTAGGGCCAGTTTATATGTATGTTTAGGCTTGCAATTAAGCAGAGTAATGAAGGCATGCATTTTGATAAATTAATAGAATAATATGTGTGAGTAATGGAACGTATGCAATTAAATGGAGATACGAATACCATCAAAATAAAAAAAATAAATAATAAAAACTTTCAGAGTTATACTTAGACAACAAGTTATATGGTCGACTTACTGTGTTAAGTAAGACAGGCTTATGGTAATAATGCTAATACCATAACGGTAATACAAACACAATAGTTTAACATATGCAACATTTAATAAAGCTGACTTAAAATCAAATATTAGCTAACCTTTCAGGGGCATTTATTGCAATTTCTTGCGTCTAACCTTGCATTGCTTCCACACCTTATATGCTTTGGTTAAATCCAAATCCTCTCCAGCATTTAGATATAATTTAATTTGCATTAGATTCTCCAAATGTGTGGCTTCAAGTGTATTTCGTGCTTGCACTTTTATTATGTTAATAAGGCTAAAACCTTGTTCGTAAACAGCACTGCATGCTTGGAAGGTACAATAATGTCACTTAACTTTGCAAGTGAGCTAAATTGTTCTTTGTTTTGACAAATCTTGCATATTCAGACATATAATTTACAGAAACAGATTTGAGTTTTTTCACTTTATCGAAATTTGGAGTCGTTGTATTGGGTGGTAATTAACTGATCATTTGTTGTACGTAACCGGTCTTTGTTCTTTACGCACAGTTGTTTGATATCTTTGTTGCCAAACTCAAATGCATTTTTTTAAACCTGTAGAAAAAATAAGATATCCAAAACTGCAGTTCATCTCCTGGAAACCTAACATTAAATGGTCGCAGACTGATGTATGTACTGTGTGGTTTGCCTTGTGTCGATTCTTTCGTTTAACTCACACTTTTCTTGGCTTTAATGTTCAGTGTAGTGCTTTATTACGGCTGTTTTCAGAGCTGAGTTATTCCACTAAATACGATTTTGTAGAATACAGAATTGACTGGACGAAATTTAAAATAAAGGATTAGCATTTTATGTACTGTTATGTCAGTACTTTCATCAACTATAAACGTGTGGAATGATGCTGCTCGAAGTTCTGTCAGTATGTTCTTTACAACAACCTCGTTGATTACTTGAACAAACTCAAAGGCGTAATTCTTACTTCGCCAACTGTCTGGTATAGAAACATACTTCCCCATGTGGTTATGAATCAGTTGTACCGACAGCATCGAGGCGTTCATCCTTATGGTAAGAAGAACATTATCCGTTAGGATTCGAACTTGAACCTCGTTTGACCGCTGGCGCTAGTTTTGCTCAATTAGTTCTCCTCGCTCAATGTAAGTTTCAACCAGCAGACGTTTAAGGTCAGTTCCATGTGAGCTGTTGTACGAAATCGCAAACACGTAAACACGAGACAATAAATGACGTTTACAGTAGTCAAGCTTCCATGATTGCCAGAGCTTTCCTGTGACCAATTCGTTGCTCTTGTTGGTTTTGTTACAAGTAGTAGCAGCACAGAACTTACACTTCAGTCCAATCTCATCTGAATATTCGTAGATGCTTTCTAATTCAACCGAAACATTCTTTGATCTGGCGTATCGGTTGTTACTTTAACTTTGAACCATTCCAGTTTAAAGGAATCTATCGCTTTTTTTTGGTGCCACATTGTTGTACTGCTTGTTACACACATTTTCCCCAAACATTTTCAAATAGCACACAGTTGTGGACATTTATTTCTGATTTACCAAAGCAGTGTGTGCGTACTAAAACATTTCGATCCACATGCACGTAATAATCCCAAGAATCGGATATATAATATATAAACCTTTAAACCAAACATAGCAAAAACACATCCATCTTAAGTAACGTAAAACTCGCATCTGACTTGGCTTAATCGTCGAAGTTTCAAGATGAGGGGGAGGGGGGGGGGGGGGGCAAGCGACAATTTAAAAAACTTGCAGGGTCAGCTTCAATTCACAATACAATGCTGGTATTAGATGTCAGCTACGGTCAGTTTTTGGGTAAACCATTAAATCAAGCAATGGGAGTGTCACACAGCCCCGCTCAGGTGAGAGTTAAGTCATAAACTAGACCTGTGCTATGACAACCGAGGTCACCCCCTCCCTCCAGTCAATGTTTATACCCCAAAACACAAAGACTGTTCGTTTAACAAAACAGGCAATAAAAATGTCGCTTAATTCAAACCACTGACCACATTTTTTCTTGTGAATCAGGCTAGCCCGACGTTCTGATAATCTGTGCGCGGGGTCAGAAAATGTCTGCGCGGCACATTTGAAAGTACTGCGCGGCCGCGCAGCCGCGCAGCTTAGAGGGAACACTGGGGAGGGGAAGGTTTACCGGGATTGGGGGGGGGGGGGGATTAACGCCCAACTCTTTCTACGCAGATATTTTTCTACCCGAAGTAAGAATTCTTAAAAAAATCAGAGTGAGATTTCATATTGGAAGTTACGTTTTTAACTGTAACTCAACATGTTAGGGCTGGGAACAAGCGTTGGTACTGAAGTAGCAATATTATTTAACGCTAAGGGTAAAATACGTACGGGATACTGTCGTAGGAAAAACAGGGCAGTTTTAACCAGATGAGATCCGAACCTACTACCCCACACGGGCATGTCGGATAGGTAACACGTTCTGACGTTACTGGTCAGTGCAGATTATTACTAGTCAGTGCAGATTATTACTGGTCAGTGCAGATTATTACTAGTCAGTACAGATTATTACTGGTCAGTGCAGATTATTACTGGTCAGTTCAGATTATTACTGGTCAGTGCAGATTATTACTGGTCAGTTCAGATTATTACTGGTCAGTGCAGATTATTACTGGTCAGTGCAGATTATTACTGGTCTGTGCAGATTATTACTGGTCAGTGCAGATTATTACTAGTCAGTACAGATTATTACTGGTCAGTGCAGATTATTACTGGTCAGTTCAGATTATTACTGGTCATTGCAGATTATTACTGGTCAGTTCAGATTATTACTGGTCAGTGCAGATTATTTCCGTGAAGTCGTAATCTGTTTTGTCTTTTCACTTTATCCGTACAATAGTTTTAACGTAAGTTTAGAACAAACACAGTCACATGGCCAGCTACATTTCCCATATTTTTCCTGAAAAATTAAAGGTAGCCTACCCAGAGGTTAAAGTTCACATTCATCAAATATGTAATACCGTCAATAGTGTAGCCCCAGCTTCAGGGAGAGATCGAGAGATATTCACTGACAAATGTATAATGATTTACAGCTCTACAAGGTTTCGTTTCACACTTACCAAGGGAAGTAATGAAACGAAATTGTAAATATAATTTATCTTGTTTAGTCTCCCTTTTTGAAGTTTAATTAAAATAAGAGAAGAAAGGTTTGAAAAAGAGAGAACATTTAGGCATCAATGCCGCATCAATAGCTTACGAGCTGACTGTTGTTTTAGCTGCCTTTTCATCATGAAACTGTTCCGTTTTTATTTTACACACACTCTTCTATAGCATGGAAAATATAAAAACCTGTTCTATGTAAAAAAAAACAAACAAAAAAGCAAAAACAAAAAACAAACTAGAATATCAACTTAACAATGTTCTAAAAAATGCTATATTAACAGTGATTTATTTTTAATGTTAACAATATGAGCGAAACAATGGTACACATAATTAAGGTAAAATCCTTAGAAATGAGTGCCTTTAATAAACGCCTAATTCAATATAAAGAAGCGTTAAAATATATTTCTTAGAAGTCAATTAAAAGTAGAATCCAATTAAACATGACGAACTTTTGATAATTTCAGATGGAAGAAGGGATGGGGATGGCGTCATCATCCCTACGTCACGACATCACGTCCATCCTGCGAGAGTTGAAGAAAATCACGAGCAAGTACCGGAAGTGCGAGGAGGAGGAGGACGTGAGGAACGACTGGAAGTTTGCTGCCATGGTCATGGACCGGCTGTGTTTCATCGTCTGCATCGTCTTCACCGTCGGCTCCACCCTGGCGATTCTCATCTCAGCTCCCAACTTGCTGACCTAGTCGTCTGCTTTCAAGTCTGCTGACCTAGCCGTCTGCTTTCAGATCTGCTGGCCGTCTGCTGAACTAGTCGTCTGCTGACCTAGCCGTCTACTGACCTAGCCGTCTGCTGACCTAGCCGTCTACTGACCTAGCCGTCTGCTGACCTAGCCGTCTGCTTTAAAGTCTACTGACCTAGCCGTCTGCTGACCTAGCCGTCTACTGACCTAGCCGTCTGCTGACCTAGCCGTCTGCTTTAAAGTCTACTGACCTAGCCGTCTGCTGACCTAGCCGTCTGCTGACCTAGCCGTCTGCTGACCTAGCCGTCTACTGACCAAGCCGTCTGCTGACCTAGCCATCTACTGACCAAGCCGTCTGCTGACCTAGTCGTCTGCTGACCTAGCCGTCTGCTGACCTAGCCGTCTACTGACCTAGCCGTCTGCTGACCTAGCCGTCTGCTTTAAAGTCTACTGACCTAGCCGTCTGCTGACCTAGCCGTCTGCTGACCTAGCCGTCTGCTGACCTAGCCGTCTACTGACCAAGCCGTCTGCTGACCTAGCCGTCTACTGACCAAGCCGTCTGCTGACCTAGTCGTCTGCTGACCTAGCCGTCTGCTGACCTAGCCGTCTAATGACCTAGCCGTCTGCTGACCTAGCCGTCTACTGACCTAGCCGTCTACTGACCTAGCCGTCTGCTGACCTAGCCGTCTGCTGACCTAGCCGTCTGCTTTCAAGTCTGCTGACCTAGCCGTCTGCTTTCAAGTCTGCTGACCTAGCCGTCTGCTTTCAAGTCTGCTGACCTAGCCGTCTGCTTTCAAGTCTGCTGACCTAGCCGTCTGCTGACCTAGCCGTCTGCTTTCAAGTCTGCTGACCTAGCCGTCTGCTGACCTAGCCGTCTGCTTTCAAGTCTGCTGACTCAGCCGTCTGCTGACCTAGCCGTCTACTGACCTAGCCGTCTGCTTTCAAGTCTGCTGACCTAGCCGTCTGCTTTCAAGTCTGCTGACTCAGCCGTCTACTGACCTAGCCGTCTGCTGACCTAGCCGTCTGCTGACCTAGCCGTCTGCTGACCTAGCCGTCTACTGACCAAGCCGTCTGCTGACCTAGCCGTCTACTGACCAAGCCGTCTGCTGACCTAGTCGTCTGCTGACCTAGCCGTCTGCTGACCTAGCCGTCTACTGACCTAGCCGTCTGCTGACCTAGCCGTCTGCTGACCTAGCCGTCTGCTTTCAAGTCTGCTGACCTAGCCGTCTGCTTTCAAGTCTGCTGACCTAGCCGTCTGCTTTCAAGTCTGCTGACCTAGCCGTCTGCTTTCAAGTCTGCTGACCTAGCCGTCTGCTGACCTAGCCGTCTGCTTTCAAGTCTGCTGACCTAGCCGTCTGCTGACCTAGCCGTCTGCTTTCAAGTCTGCTGACTCAGCCGTCTGCTGACCTAGCCGTCTACTGACCTAGCCGTCTGCTTTCAAGTCTGCTGACCTAGCCGTCTGCTTTCAAGTCTGCTGACTCAGCCGTCTACTGACCAAGCCGTCTGCTGACCTAGCCGTCTGCTGACCTAGCCGTCTGCTGACCTAGCCGTCTGCTGACCTAGCCGTCTACTGACCTAGCCGTCTACTGACCTAGCCGTCTGCTGACCTAGCCGTCTGCTGACCTAGCCGTCTGCTTTCAAGTCTGCTGATCTAGATGTTTGCTGATCTAGCTATTCGCTAATTTAGCTAGCTCACGACTAACTGCCGAAAGAGCTGTCGTCTTCAAAGAATTCTGGACTTCAGACTGATTTGTTTGCAGATATAAAGGTTGGAACTTAAATAGTAGAAACTTAAATATCCTTTAAGAAACTAGAACCCGACGACTTGACCCGCCAAAGATTTGGTAGACTGCTGACTCAGCAGAAGTCTAGCTGGTATTCGAGCCACAGAGTGTCTCGCCTGATGCACACGGTACCGCGTTAATCTAGACGCTGTTGTTTTTGTTCCGGCTTCGTGGTTTAGTAATGCATTTTTGTCATTAATGATAAAATGTTGCATTACGACCGACCCAAAAAAAACAACAAAACAAAACTAATCAAAACAAAGCAATACATTTTCGCTGAAAAATATAAGTAAATACTACACATCTGAGTTAAGAGCGAGTTAGTTCAACGTTTATATTCCTTTAATTGCCACATAAATTGTTGATACTTGTAATCATATGAAGATAATATTTGTTTTGTACCTGTGTTAAAATCGTTACCATATTTGCTTGCTGGTCAGGCCACAATGGTCAACAAAGGTGAAAGATAACAAAATGTTATGTAGAACATAATTTTTGTCATGGTGCTAACGTCCTTACACAACACATAGCCATACCTCTAGCATCACACTGTACAGTTTGTGCCAGATAGTACATAATTCACATACACACATTCACGAATACATACACGAAAATTCTAACATACACACAAATACAGTTACTCACGTACATACATATAATCATACATACATACATACATTCACACATATATACATACATTTATGATATATATATATATATATATATATATATATATATATATATATATATATATATATATATATATATATATATATACATATATATATATATATATACATATATATATATATATATATATATATATATTTTATATATATATATATATATATATATATATATATATATATATATATATATATATATATATATATATATATATATATATATATATATATATATATATATATATATATATATAAAATATATATATATATATAGTCTAGAATTTCTCAAGCTACAACTAGTTATAAGTCACATGACTGTTGTGATGATCTGCTCTATACCCCCCCCCCCCCCCGCTACACTAGTTATAAAACTTAAAATTCCAGTTGGTTCATCAACCCCCCCCCCCCCTCATCCCCATTCCCTTAAAAACGACAACTGTGTAACTCACACAATAATTAACCAATGCTCATCTACTCACTAGGACGTGTCCTTGCTCTTTTGTTTGAATGTCATGCCGTGTGCGAGAAGCTCTAAACCTTTCATGTGCTCACTCGGTGCACGAGTTGACACGTGTGAGGAGCCGCACGGTCGGGAGGTAGCGCGCTTAGTTACTAACCATAAAGTCTTGAGTTCTGTTCACAGAGTCCACCCAGCTCTAATGGGTATCTGACCCTAAGACGTCCATGAGTTCACCCAGCTCTGATGGGTACCTAACTCAAGTTTCGGAAAGTAAAGGCAACTGGAACATAGTGCCGGCCACATTATTCCTTAATATGCTGAGCTTATAAACGCAGATGAACTCCACTGGTCCACTGACCATCATACATAAAAGCGTAATTGTTCACACTTCTGGTACTCAGACATGCATTTTCTCAAACACACGTCTATGGATGTATGTTTAATGCCATATGCATGTATAATTACGTATGAAAGTATGTTTAATGCCATAGCTATGTATGTTTAATGACAAAGGCATGTATAATTACGTATGAAAATACGTTTAATGCCATATATGTGTATGTTTAATCCCATATCTATGTATGTTTTAATGCCATATCTATATGTTTAATGTCGTTTTTATTTAGTTGAAAACCATTTGCTCATGTATATCACATTATCACATATATTTAGCTATCAACGAGAAAAACGAGAATATTTGGTAGGGTTTGAAACGAAGGAAGCTGCAGCTTACCGGTGAGACGAAATTTTTAAACTGCTAGCTTATGGTATACACCTGTCTGTGTTCGCTGCGATTTGACACGTAACATTTCCGTATTTCGAACATGCAAGTTCTTGTTAAAATCTGAATAAAAACACGTCATTTTCTCTCTTGTTCTAAGATTATTTTTGTTGAGCTGCAGTGTACTATATAACAACATTAATTTTGATGGGCAAACTTTGTAGTGCCTTACATTTTACATTACAGATACACAGAAATGCTGCTTTAGATTTTGGTTACTTTTCTAACTGATAAAACTCGTCATTAGAGTAAAAAAAGTAAAGTTCCCTGACGGTCTATAGGGCAATTGAAGTAGAGTTCACTTGTTTCTGTGACCTCGGCATATGAAGAGATAGTGAGGTCAGCCGTCATTAGAGTATTTTCGCCTTAATTATTTCGCCCATAGTCATTTTGGTTAGGTTATTTATTTTCAACACTTTATTTCTATAATTAGCAATCTTTATGTTATTTTGTCAAAAGACATTTTCAAACAACTAAAACAATCCCAGCAAACAGTGAAGCAACAGTTTATTTTAGCGTTCAATATTATTGTTATAGTAAGCAACAAAAGTGTCAAATTCTGTTAAAAATGGTTAAAAATAAATGAATAAGAAAGACTTCAATGACGTCTCATGGACGAAAACATAGTATAAACAATTTCAGCGACGAGTTGGGCTACATCATCATTTGTTGGGCCATGTCATCATTGTTGGGCCACATCATCATTGTTGGGCCACATCATCATTGTTGGGCCACATCATCATTGTTGGGCCACATCATCATTGTTGGGCTACATCATCATTGTTGGGCCACATCATCATTGTTGGGCCACATCATCATTGTTGGGCCACATCATCATTGTTGGGCCACATCATCATTGTTGGGCCACATCATCATTGTTGGGTCACATCATCATTGTTGGGCCACATCATCATTGTTGGGCCACATCATCATTGTTGGGCCATATCATCATTGGTGGGCCACATCATCATTGTTGGGCCACATCATCATTGTTGGGCCACATCATCATTGTTGGGCCACATCATCATTGTTGGGCCACATCATCATTGTTGGGCCACATCATCATTGTTGGGCCACATCATCATTGTTGGGCCACATCATCACTGTTGGGCCACATCATCATTGTTGGGCCACATCATCATTGTTGGGCCACATCATCATTGTTGGGCCACATCATCATTGTTGGGCCACATCATCATTGTTGGGCCACATCATCATTGTTGGGCCACATCATCATTGTTGGGCCACATCATCATTGTTGGGCCACATCATCACTGTTGGGCCACATCATCATTGTTGGGCCACATCATCATTGTTGGGCCACATCATCATTGTTGGGCCACATCATCATTGTTGGGCCACATCATCATTGTTGGGCCACATCATCATTGTTGGGCCACATCATCATTGTTGGGCCACATCATCATTTATGGAGCCACATCATCATTTATGGGGCCACATCATCATTTATGGAGCCACATCATCATTGTTGGGCCACATCATCATTTATGGGGCCACATCATCATTTATGGGGCCACATCATCATTTATGGGGCCACATCAGCATTGGTTGGGCCCCCAATTAGAGAAAGACCGTAATTACCCAACGGTAATCAATACAGTTTTTTAAAGAAAGGCACGTAATTCTCCACGACTTGCTTTACAAAGTTTCTTCGACTAAGGTACACATTTAACTTGGAACCCTTTCACACTTAAACATAACATTCTAGACTGCTTCAAATATACTAATTATAGCTCTAAACAAGCAATTATTATAGATATCATACTCAGCTGCTAATACTAATAAAGGAGCATTTAATAAGGTCTCAATATACCTGAAGGTATTTAATTTTTACGCTTTAACTAAGTTTAACGATGAGATTTAACAACAAACTTAGCATAACATAATAGTCGTTAGTCCTATGTACATTTAAAACATTATATATATATATATATATATATATATATATATATATATATATATATATATATATATATATATGTTTATATATATATATCAAGAGAATATCATTTAAAAAATCTCATGTCTTGATCTATCCTGTGTACATTACACCTGTAAAATAAAGAAACAAGTTAATAAAAAGTCTAGTGACAATTTAAGCGCAATTTCCTTAATTAATTTTTTGTGACCGAACGAAAGGATATTTTGAAAACTTTCTTCGGCAATATTGTTCTAAATTATGGCAGGAATCGATTGGTAAATGTTTCAAGTCGCTAAGTGGTTTGGTTGCCGAGATATGGGCCAAAAACTGCATTTTTCCGAGGTTTTTTGGCTTTTCCGGGAAATCCAGGATGGAATTCCGGGAATTTTTTTAGCCCACAATCATCCTCGGAACTTGCTTAACATATTTGCTTTTGGGACTAGTCCTCGATATTGCTTCGTTGAGGAGGAGATACGACTTAAAGCTGTGTAAAGCTGCGGACACACATCCATCCAGAAATAACGAATTAATAATCGCAATTGCCAGTATGGAAATTGCGCTAAAAAGGGGTGGGGGCGGGGAGTAAAATATTACTAGTGTAATGATTCTTATATTTTCAGTTACTTCTCCATAAACTAGACACGTTATGGTGTTGTGAATACACCATGTGTGATGTTGGTGATGACGTGAAACACGAGGACAATCCACGACCCCCCTCCCCCACCCTTTCGATAGTATTAGATACGTGGTCTTGTTCCAAATGGGCTGTAAAGGCCGTCCCGAGTTAAATGGATCCATTAAATTAGTGCCTGGTGTTAGATATCCTCAAGGTTTTATGAGCAAACGGTAGATAGCAATCTGTCCTAACAAACAGACGTATCGGGTTATGCTGACGTACTGAAGTATGACCTACCTTGAAAACTGCACACAAAATAGGTGGCCTTGAACTTACCCGATAATGGAGTTCTTACTAGGTCAAATAGCCAAAGTTTAAATATTTTTGTGTGGGCTCCGAAATGGATCAACAAAGTCGGCGGGGTTCATGTAAGTACAACGTCCCAGAGTCTACCTAGCTCTGACGGGTACCTAACTCGCGTTAGGGAACGTAAAAGCGGCCGGGCAACGTTCTAACCACACTATCCTTTCGTATGCCGAGGTCACTTGCCCCATAGACCGTCATATGTGAAAGGGAACTACTTTTTCACAGCGCATAATTCAAATCCTTGTCCTAATAAATAGCCTGTTCTCGATGAGTTGCTGTCCCCAGCTATTGAGCCTCATCTGCTCCGGGATTTTAACAACCCTACGCGACATCGACCTCAACACGCCGACCCCAGATAACATCTTACAGGTATAAAAATAAAACCCCCACCTGCGACGGCTCCTGTGACAAAGTTGGCCAGATTCCCCGCCACGAAGGCCCGCAACACCAGAGCGATGACGTCTTTCTTCCTTGAGGGACACATCGGTATCAACGTCCCCATACAGAAACCTATGGCAGGAAACGCTGAAATGCCGCACAGGGCGTACGTCGTTATGACCTCCGACCTTTCCTACCAGGAAGAAAAGGCACAGTTTATAAACATGGGTAGGAATAAAAAATGTGCTGATAATTTAAAAAAATAATAATGGGACTCTAGGGACAAAGATGATGGCAGAAAATGTAACCAACATACGGCTAATTAATTTATGATACCATCACATATGTGAACTCTGTCCCGACATAACCTAATCAAGTTATGTGAACTATGACCTCCTACAGAACCTAATTAATGAGCGTCAACTAAGAGCTCCCACAGTGGAGCTATGACCCTAGAAGATCCCAATGAATTCCCTTTGAGTCCGCCAGGCCGGTAAATCGGCTTCAACATTAGGCATATATGTCCGAAAAGCCGGTTTTCCGGCCCGATGATCTAGCGTCATATTCCTAGCGGCCGGTATACCGTCTAATTAAATATAATTAGCGGAAGACTTACTAAAACTGCGCAAACGTCTTTTTAGTGCGTGATTATGATTCTAAAAAAAGATTTTAGGAAAAGTGAAAGTGTTTACATTTCGTAGCAATGCCGCCGAAATGAAAAGCTGAGCCACAGCCATCGACTTCATCACAAAAAGTTGGTGCAAAAGATGAAGCAAAAGACCGAAATATCAACAAAAGAAGTAGAATGACTGCGTCTCAGGCAATACAACTACTTACTGATTCTGATGAAGAAGATAATATTCCTGGCCTATATTGTGATCATAGTGACGTTGAATTTGAGACTGAACTCAGTGACATTGAAATTGACAGTGACAATGAAACTGTTCAAGTACGTTATGATGCACGTGGTGCCAAGGACAAAGACGTGCCGAAACGAAAAAAAACTGTTTACTGGTGCAAAACATGCTAAGTTTTTCTTTGCATTGGGTCCGGCAGTGATAACTGTTTTGAAAGTTATCACACAAAAGTGGACTTCTGGCGATGAACTAGTATGGCCAGGTATCAATAATAACAAAACAATTACTAAATGTAAATTTGTTTCTTCTATGTTCTATCAAAACAATAATTATGTGTTCGATTTATATACATTGTTCTGTTCATACATTGCAAACAAATAAAGAATTTCAGAATCTTTCTGCTTTGGGGTTTGATCCTGAGTCTGGATACCAAATTTGGCTTGATTATCTCAAACGGTTCAAAAGTTATAGCCAAAGTTAGAAGCAGATAAGTGAAAATTGGTTTGGCCCTGGGAGCTCAGGAAATGGGAGAAACTAGGCCAGGGAGGCCAGGGCTCAAAGGGTTAATGTAAACTATAACCCCAATCATCTCGATGAATGAATAAATTTAAAGTATGACCCCCAAAGATCCCAAAATGAAGGAGTGTAAACTAAGCCCAAATATATTCCAATGAAATAATGTAAACTATGCCCATTAAAGTTCCCAATAAATTAATGTAAACTAAGACCTCATGTGAACTATGACCTTTAAAGATCTCAATGAATGAATGAGAACTATGGATTAGTTTACATTCCTTCATTGTGGGATCTTTTGGGTCATAGTTCCCATTCAGTCTGCCCAGACGAAGCTTACCGTCATGAACCCTTTGACCAAGGTGGTGTTGGTCCCCTCCAGTATGACGTCCTCACCTGACAGGTACCAGGTGCCGTTCATCTCTCTGGTGTATTCCTCAAACACTCGACGGTTCTACAAGAAAAATAAATCCAAGATTCTCCCGTCACGTTCAGAATTTATTCAGGGCCATTCACCCAACAGGTTTTAGTTCTAATGTAATATCCCGACAGTAAACACCAAACACTGCGTAGGAGACAGCTGATTCTTTGAGTTCTGTATGATTTCTAGCTATGCTTGGTCTGGATTATGAACTTACGCGCTTAGAAAAAAATGTTTTAAAAGCAGATTTTAAACTTAAAATTTGTACTGAAGTGGATTGTGTATCAGGAATTAATCAGCGAATACGAAGCTTTCATGTTGTGTATTGAGAGAGCCGGGACGTGTAATATCTTATTTGGAAATTTACTTTACCTACCTGGAAATGTAATTTTCTTACCTACAAATCTATTTACTAACCTGCAATTCAACCTAGATATCTATGTCTTAACTAGAGAAGTAATTGTTTTAAAATTTACTTGTCTGAAATAAAATTGTCTTGAGTGAAATTGAAAGTGTATTGGGTGGAAGCCTAATTGTCTAACCTGGAAATGATATTGTCTCACCTGTAAGTGTAATGGTCTCACCTGTAAGTGTAAGGATCTCATCTTAACATGTAAATGTCTCACTTGGACATGTAATGGTCTCACTAAGTGTAAGTGGTCTAACCTGTAAGTGTAATGGTCTCACCTGTAAGTGTAAGGATCTCATCTTAACATGTAAATGTCTCACTTGGACATGTAATGGTCTCACTAAGTGTAAGTGGTCTAACCTGTAAGTGTAATGGTCTAACCTGTAAGTGTAATGGTCTCACCTGTAAGTGTAATGGTCTCACTTGGACATGTAATGGTCTCACTAAGTGTAAGTGGTCTAACCTGTAAGTGCAATGGTCTAACCTGTAAGTGTAATGGTCTCACCTGTAAGTGTAATGGTCTCACTTGGACATGTAATGGTCTCACTAAGTGTAAGTGGTCTAACCTGTAAGTGCAATGGTCTAACCTGTAAGTGTAATGGTCTCACCTGTAAGTGTAATGGTCTCACTTGGACATGTAATGGTCTCACTAAGTGTAAGTGGTCTAACCTGTAAGTGTAATGGTCTAACCTGTAAGTGTAATGGTCTCACCTGTAAGTGTAATGGTCTCACTTGGACATGTAATGGTCTCACTAAGTGTAAGTGGTCTAACCTGTAAGTGTAATGGTCTCACCTGTAAGTGTAATGGTCTCACTTGGACATGTAATGGTCTCACTAAGTGTAAGTGGTCTAACCTGTAAGTGTAATGGTCTAACCTGTAAGTGTAATGGTCACACTTGGACATGTCATGGTCTCACTAAGTGTAAGTGGTCTAACCTGTAAGTGTAATGGTCTCCCCTGTAAGTGTAATGGTCTCACCTGTAAGTGTAATGGTCTCACTTGGACATGTAATGGTCTCACTAAGTGTAAGTGGTCTAACCTGTAAGTGTAATGGTCTCACCTGTAAGTGTAATGGTCTCACTTGGACATGTAATGGTCTCACTAAGTGTAAGTGGTCTAACCTGTAAGTGTAATGGTCTAACCTGTAAGTGTAATGGTCACACTTGGACATGTCATGGTCTCACTAAGTGTAAGTGGTCTAACCTGTAAGTGTAATGGTCTCCCCTGTAAGTGTAATGGTCTCACCTGTAAGTGTAATGATCTCACCTAGACATGTAATAGTCTCACCTGTAAATGTAATGATCTCACATGTAAGTGTAACGGTCTCACCTGAATCATCTTCCCCAGCTCGGCGTATGCCACAAAGGGCGTGGCGAAGAACTTGATGCCGATGAGCGCCCCGATCTTGCCACAGTCCTCAGGGGTGGCGCCCATGACGTAGGTGAGGGGGAACATCAGGTAAGAGCAGATGATCTGGGGACAACAGACAAGACAGTGTTAGTGTAGTTGACACTCTTGGGTTAGCCGTACCCCATAATAATATATCCTTTTGTTTATTTATAAATCAATGAAAATAACCTGTTTAAAATCTATGTTTACTAAAATAAACACAAAAAATTGGACAAAATAAAATTTACACGACTAACTAGTTCATGTATTCTGAAACATACATAAACGAATACAAATGAATAAAAACATCCCGAATGACTGGGTATTCGCTCACATCAAATGTCAAATCCGATACCCCAGCACGCTCCCCGATCCAGACGAAAATTTTGTTCAAAAGGTTGAGTATCGATACGAAGGCTATCATGTTCACCATGATGGCGGCCACAAGCTTGGTAGAGAAGGCCGCCCCATCAGATGCGGCCTGGAGTAGGTTCTGTGTAGACCTGGGGAGGTAACACGGGCATGTATCAGGCTGCGGGGGGGGGGGGGGTGTGGAGTGGGCGGGGCGGGGGTAGTTATGTTTCTATACAATAACAAATTTGACATTTCAGAAGTGTCTCGAGGTTTTGTTGACAAAGGGAGACGAATTTGAGAACTATCTCTTCTATATAACGAAGCGTTATCAACAGTAGATTCTATAGCACCATAACGGATACACACGATTTGAAATCTCTTATCAGTTTAACGCCTAAAATAAATACTTTGTTGAACTACAATAGCTTCATTGGATGGTAGAATAAAAAAAAAAGTTATGCGAAGCTAAAATAACATTACAAATATTCAAGAGGTCAGTTTAAAAGAAACAACATTTCAAAAATGTAATTTTTATGTAAAAAACGAACTGGGACAAAGGTGAGAATTATTTTCATTCGCGTTTAATTTCTGTTTACATCAACCTGTTTCTCCTTTTTACTGACGTAGCCTATAGGCGACTGATGGTGGGCTTTTGGCGTTTACAATAATAGTATTAGTGATAAGCCTCATAGTCGTTAACAGCTGCAAAACAGTTTTGAAAAATACGCAGAAATTCCCCACGACAAAATAAATAAATAATAAAAATAATAATATAATTTTTTACTCTGCAATTAAATAAACGCCTTTAAATTATATTTAACAAACAAAAAACAAAAACGCATATATGTAGTTACATTATATGTGACACTCAAACACATGAAACAAAACACTCACACATACAACACGCATAAATATCTTTACATTACACGAGGAACTCACACATGGAAGAAAACACCCACCTATACAGTACTCACTCACAAACACGCACGTATACAGTACTCACTTACAAACACGCACATATATGGTACTCACTCACAAACACGCACATATATGGTACTCACTCACAAACACGTACATATACAGTACTCACTCACAAACACACACATATATAGTACTCACAAACACGCACGTATATGGTACTCACTCACAAACACGTACATATACAGTACTCACTCACAAACACACACATATACAGTACTCACAAACACGCACGTATACAGTACTCACTCACAAACACGCACGTATACAGTACTCACTCACAAACACGCACGTATACAGTACTCACTCACAAACACGCACGTATACAGTACTCACTCACAAACACGCACGTATACATTACTCACTCACAAACATGCACATATACAGTACTCACAAACACGCCTATATACAGTACTCACAAACATGCATATATACAGTACTCACAAACACGCCTATATACAGTACTCACAAACACGCACGTATACATTACTCACTCACAAACATGCACATATACAGTACTCACAAACACGCCTATATACAGTACTCACAAACACGCATATATACAGTACTCACTCACAAACATGCACATATACAGTACTCACAAACACGCATATATACAGTACTCACTCACAAACATGCACATATACAGTACTCACAAACACACACATATACATTACTTACTCCTCATCCCGCATCTTGATGTTGCTCTGACTCTCCAGGTCGACCCTCTCCATCTCAGGGTACATCAGCTTAGAGATGGCCAGGGCTGCTGGGGCAGAGATGACCGCAGCGGTCAGTAGGTGACTAGCTGGTGCCTGTAGGACAATAGAGGTGTGGTCAGTAGAATGTAGGGGGGTGTAGGACAATAGAGGTGTGGTCAGTAGAGTATGGGGGTGTAGGGCAATAGAGGTGTGGTCAGTAGAGTGGGGCCTGTAGGACAATAGAGGTGTGGTCAGTAGAGTGGGGGGGGGAGGTGTAGGACAATAGAGGTGTGGTCAGTAGAGTGGGGGTGGGGTGGGTGTAGGACAATAGAGGTGTGGTCAGCAGAGTGGGGAGGTGTAGGACAATAGAGGCGTGGTCAGTAGGGGAGTGGGGGGGGGCTGTAGGACAATAGAGGTGTGGTCAGTAGAGTGGGGGGTGTAGAACACTAGAGGCGTGGTCAGTAGAGTGAGGGGCTGTAGGACAACAGAGGTGTGGTCAGCAGAGTGGGGGGAGGGTGTAGGACAATAGAGGCGTGGTCAGTAGAGTGGAGGGGTGTAGGACAATAGAGGTGTGGTCAGTAGAGTGGGGGGGGTGTAGGACAATAGAGGTGTGGTCAGTAGAGTGGGGGTGTAGGACAAATGAGGTGTGGTCAGTAGAGTGGGGGGGGGGGGCTGTAGGACAATAGAGGTGTGGTCAGTAGAGTGGGGGGGGGTGTAGGACGATAGAGGTGTGGTCGGTAGAGTGGGGGGGGGGTGTAGGACTATAGAGGTGTGGTCAGTAGAGTGGGGGAGTGTAGGACAATAGAGGTGTGGTCAGTAGAGTGGGGGGTGTAGGACAATAGAGGTGTGGTCAGTAGAGTGGGGGGGGGGTGTAGGACAATAGAGGTGTAGTCAGTAGAGTGGGGGGTGTAGGACAATAGAGGTGTGGTCAGTAGAGTGGGGGGGGGTGTAGGACAATAGAGGCGTGGTCAGTAGGGGAGTGGGTGGGGCCTGTAGGGCAACAGAGGTGTGGTCAGTAGAGTGGGGGGGCTGTAGGACAATAGAGGTGTGGTCAGTAGAGTGGGGGGTGTAGGACAATAGAGGTGTGGTCAGTAGAGTGTGGGGGGGGGAAGTAGGACAATAGAGGCGTGGTCAGTAGAGTGGGGGGGGGGGCTGTAGGACAACAGAGGTGTGGTCAATAGAGTGGGGGGCTGTAGGACAATAGAGGCGTGGTCAGTAGAGTGGGGGGGGGCTGTAGGACAATAGAGGTGTGGTCAGTAGAGTGGGGGGTGTAGGACAACAGAGGTGTGGTCAGTAGAGTGGGGGGCTGTAGGACAATAGAGGTGTGGTCAGCAGAGTGGGGGGGGGGTGTAGGACAATAGAGGTGTGGTCAGTAGAGTGGGGGGGGGGGTGTAGGACAACAGAGGTGTGGTCGGTAGAGTGGGGCCTGTAGGACAATAGAGGTGTGGTCAGTAGAGTGGGGGGGGGAGGTGTAGGACAATAGAGGTGTGGTCAGTAGAGTGGGGGGGGGTGGGTGTAGGACAATAGAGGTGTGGTCAGCAGAGTGGGGGGGGTGTAGGACAATAGAGGCGTGGTCAGTGGAGTGGGGGGGGGGGGCTGTAGGACAATAGAGGTGTGGTCAGTAGAGTGGGGGGGTGTAGAACACTAGAGGCGTGGTCAGTAGAGTGAGGGGCTGTAGGACAACAGAGGTGTGGTCAGCAGAGTGGGGGGAGGGTGTAGGACAATAGAGGCGTGGTCAGTAGGGGAGTGGGTAGGGCCTGTAGGGCAACAGAGGTGTGGTCAGTAGAGTGGGGGGGGGTGTAGGACAATAGAGGTGTGGTCAGTAGAGTGGGGGGGGTGTAGGACAATAGAGGCGTGGTCAGTAGAGTGGAGGGGTGTAGGACAATAGAGGTGTGGTCAGTAGAGTGGGGGGGGGGGTGTAGGACAACAGCGGTGTGGTCAGTAGAGTGGAGGGGTGTAGGACAATAGAGGTGTGGTCAGTAGAGTGGGGGGGTGTAGGACAATAGAGGTGTGGTCAGTAGAGTGGGGGGGGGTGTAGGACAATAGAGGTGTGGTCAGTAGAGTGGGGGGGTGTAGGACAACATAGGTGTGGTCAGTAGAGTGGAGGGGTGTAGGACAATAGAGGTGTGGTCAGTAGAGTGGGGGGGGGGTGTAGGACAATAGAGGTGTGGTCAGTAGAGTGGGGGGGTGTAGGACAATAGAGGTGTGGTCAGTAGGTGATTGGCTGGGGCCTGTAGGACAACAGAGGTGTGGTCAGTAGAGTGGGGGGTGTAGGGCAATAGAGGTGTGGTCAGCAGAGTGGGGGAATGGGGTGTAGGACAACAGAGTTGTGGTCAGTAGAGTGGGGGGGGGGTGTAGGGCAATAGAGGTGTGGTCAGTAGAAAGTAGGGGGTGTAGGACAATAGAGGTGTGGTCAGTACGTGATTGGCTGGGGCCTGTAGGACAATAGATGTGTGGTCAGTAGAGTGGGGGGGGGGGTGTAGGACAATAGAGGTGTGGTCAGTAGAGTGTGGGGGTGTAGGGCAACAGAGGTGTGGTCAGTAGAAAGTGGGGTGTAAGACAGGTTTGGTCAGATGGGGCGGGGGGGGGGAGAGGCAACAGAGATTTAGTCAGTAGAAACGAAAGTGGTTTGTGTGAGATAGAAGAGGATTATTCAAAGGGGGACTAGGGGTGTAAGACAACAGTAGAAAGGGTTATTTCAAAACTTAGGAACACTCATGTTAAAACAACAACACAGTCTACTCTCCATAAGTTGTGAGATTACCCCAGATTTGATGAACATGGCCATGAAAGCTCCCGAAATGCTGGCGAACCCACAGGTCATGATGGCGTGTAGCTCGGACTTGGTCACTGTGGGGAGGTAGGGGCGGATCAGGAGGGGGGCCTCAGACTGAAACAATGAAAAAAATGGAGAATATGGGAGAATTGTGGAGTGGGATTATAGATGGTGGGGTGTCTTTATTGGAAAGTTGAAGCAAATGATGAAACTCAGTTAAAAAAACTATCTGTATTTGTGCAAACTTCGTGTTATGCATTAGTTACCAAATAAAGAACCATGGGGTAGTTACATTTACAAAGTTTGCTACCACATAAAAACCAGCTTTTCTGAAACTCTATTCATGTTTCAAACACCCTCCCTCCTCCTCCCGTTTGAGATATTTTGCAACATTTAATGACAAACGGAAATTCAATAGCAGGACTATCTCACGTATCAAGAACACCTTGAAAACTCCTGACACTACAAAAAAAAAAGACGACCTTGATCTATTTTAACATGTTGATTTATTCGCGTGATACGATTTAGTATTTATTTTTTATAGTTTGATGCAAAAAAAATATTCGCACATTAAATCTCTTAAAATCGGGCAAAGTTTTACATCAAAATGCTACACACTGCTACATATCACACATTTTTTTCAAATATCATCCCTCTGAGCCATCTTTCAAAATCAGCTCTCATGATTCCCACTAACCAACCCAACAACATCATTTAGCATTCTAAAACATACACACACCTTCCCACCACATCATTATTTCACATCCTAAAGACAACTACCCACCACCTGCCAACAACATAATTACTTCACATATTCAAGACAACCACCCACCACCTCCCAACAAAATCACTTCAAAACAACCACCCACCACCTCCCAACAACATCATTACTTCACATCCTCAAGACAACCACTCACCATCTCCCAACAACATCACTTAGCAGCTTCAAAACAACCACCCACCACCTCCCAACAAAATCACTTCAAAACAACCACCCACCACATGCCAACAACATCATTACTTCACATCCTCAAGACAACCACTCACCATCTCCCAACAACATCACTTAGCAGCTTTAAAACAACCACCCACCACCTCCCACTAAACTTCACATCCCCTCCCCCCCCACCCATCACGTGACTCACCAGACCAATGAAAATGTTGGCAGCTGAGACCACCGATTCGACCGGGCCAGTCTCCAGACACAAGGACAGACCCCGACCTATCTTCAGCACGATAAACTCCAGCACACCGAAGTAGTCCATGATGAAGATGCACGAGTTGAAGAACACGATCACGCCCGCCGTCTGAGGAGCACAGTATATCGACATGTCAACCTTTAGTGGTGTGTACTTGGTTATGGTGTCTCCATGTTACAAGATTCAATATGATCTAACTCCGTCAACCGTGATTAAAATATAATTACGATTTGTCGTCAAACAGATTTAAAATACGCTGTCTGTTTCTTATGAGGTAGTTTTTAATTTATCTCCTTATTTAGGACGGTGAAACCCGGGGTGACACCCCCTCCCCGAACACCCCCTTGCGACGCCACTGAATGAATGTTTATATCCGAACAGTGCGTGGACCTTATGCAGAATATCATAGCATGACTTGGCACATACAATTAGCTAAGACCAACAAAACGCATGTTAATCTAATTTTTTTTTGTTCAGCCATATCAGCCAGAAATAAAATCTAAAAAGAACCGAAACACTAAAACTCATTTATCGAAACTCCTAATCAAACATTCAGTAGTGATACGGTAGAACTACCAGAACACAGAGACAAACCTCAAAGAAAAACCCAGCTTTAGTGGCCCTGAAACTGTCCCCAAACACGAAGGCCGAGCCCATGTCTGAGAGCCGCACAAAGGCGTGGACAATGTCCCCCATCCACTTGAAGGCCTCGTAGCCGATGACCGTCCTCAAGGTCAAAGTGGCGAAGGCGAATTGGATGAAAAAACCCCAGAACACCGGATGCCAGTTGACCTAGATACCAAAATAAAAACGAAAAGTTAAATTAAATGCATAATTTATCATATGCTTTCCTATCTGATTTTTATTTTATAAATTTAAGCAGATAAATTTTACTTTTTGTGGGTTTTGAAATAAACTTTGTCGAAACTTAGTGTGTTATTAGTGCAAGAAATCACAGCTAGTTACCTTGCTAGGCCTCTCGGTACAAGTAAGAAAGCCTAAGTGATTACCTTGCTAGGCTTGTATGAAAAGATGAAGCAGACGAGCAGCAAGCAGAAGATACCAAGCACGGCTTGTCCGTTGTGTACCGAGTGACCGATGACGTCAATGGCAAAGTACACACACAGCAGGACAGAGGCGACAATGTAGAGGCCGCTAGAGACATAAGTAAAATAAAACTTTCAGTCTTAGAGAGGTACAATGAAAACACAAGTATATTATCAGGATTAAAAACACACAAAAATATTGTAAAATTTATTTTTTTGTTAATGGGGACCCTTTAAATTAGCCAGCTAAAGTGTGACCCCATTTCTTCTGTCTACAAAAAGGAATTGATGAGATGATTTAGAAAATAATGCTAAATTTTTTTTATAACAGAGGGTTATTCTTAAGAATATGGTTCGTGATTTATTGCGAGTACTGGAAGACGCAATACTGCTACAATCGATATCTCTTTTACTGTGGCCGACTGTACAGTTTATCTAAGCATCGCCCTCATTTATGCAATTTAAGTACTGACTATCTAAGGACCGCCCAGACTGTGTACAACCTAAGTACTCACTATCTAAGTACCGCCCTGCCTGTGTACAATTTAATTATTCACTATCTAAGGACCGCCCTGACTGTGTACAACCTAAGTACTCACTATCTAAGGACCGCCCAGACTGTGTACAAACTAAGTACTCACTATCTAAGTACCGTCCTGCCTGTGTACAATTTAATTACTCACTATCTAAGGACCGCCCAGACTGTGTACAACCTAAGTACTCACTATCTAAGGACCGCCCAGACTGTGTACAAACTAAGTACTCACTATCTAAGTACCGTCCTGCCTGTGTACAATTTAATTACTCACTATCTAAGGACCGCCCAGACTGTGTACAACCTAAGTACTCACTATCTAAGGACCGCCCAGACTGTGTACAAACTAAGTACTCACTATCTAAGTACCGCCCTGCCTGTGTACAATTTAATTACTCAATATCTAAGGACCGCCCAGACTGTGTACAACCTAAGTACTCACTATCTAAGTACCGCCCTGCCTGTGTACAATTTAATTACTCACTATCTAAGGACCGCCCAGACTGTGTACAAACTAAGTACTCACTATCTAAGGACCGCCCAGACTGTGTACAAACTAAGTACTCACTATCTAAGGACCGCCCTGCCTGTGTACAATTTAATTACTCACTATCTAAGTACCGCCCTGCCTGTGTACAATTTAATTACTCACTATCTAAGGACCGCCCAGACTGTGTACAAACTAAGTACTCACTATCTAAGGACCGCCCAGACTGTGTACAAACTAAGTACTCACTATCTAAGTACCGCCCTGCCTGTGTACAATTTAATTACTCAATATCTAAGGACCGCCCTGACTGTGTACAACCTAAGTACTCACTATCTAAGTACCGCCCTGCCTGTGTACAATTTAATTACTCACTATCTAAGGACCGCCCAGACTGTGTACAAACTAAGTACTCACTATCTAAGGACCGCCCAGACTGTGTACAAACTAAGTACTCACTATCTAAGGACCGCCCAGACTGTGTACAAACTAAGTACTCACTATCTAAGGACCGCCCAGACTGTGTACAAACTAAGTACTCACTATCTAAGGACCGCCCAGACTGTGTACAAACTAAGTACTCACTATCTAAGTACCGCCCTGCCTGTGTACAATTTAATTACTCACTATCAAAGGACCGCCCAGACTGTGTACAAACTAAGTACTCACTATCAAAGGACCGCCCAGACTGTGTACAAACTAAGTACTCACTATCAAAGGACCGCCCAGACTGTGTACAAACTAAGTACTCACTATCTAAGGACCGCCCAGACTGTGTACAAACTAAGTACTCACTATCTAAGTACCGCCCTGCCTGTGTACAATTTAATTACTCACTATCAAAGGACCGCCCAGACTGTGTACAAACTAAGTACTCACTATCAAAGGACCGCCCAGACTGTGTACAAACTAAGTACTCACTATCTAAGGACCGCCCAGACTGTGTACAAACTAAGTACTCACTATCTAAGTACCGCCCTGCCTGTGTACAAACTAAGTACTCACTATCTAAGTACCGCCCTGCCTGTGTACAATTTAATTACTCACTATCAAAGGACCGCCCAGACTGTGTACAAACTAAGTACTCACTATCAAAGGACCGCCCAGACTGTGTACAAACTAAGTACTCACTATCTAAGTACCGTCCTGCCTGTGTACAAACTAAGTACTCACTATCTAAGGACCGCCCTGACCCGCCGACTCTTGTTGGACGTGCCAATGCAGGTCTGGCATTTCTTGAGAGCGCGTGCAAGCCTCGGTCCGTCAATGAGACCTGCAACAATCTTGATGACCACCGCCCCCGTTATGGCGGTCAGTATGTAGGAGCCTTCATCATGGTACCTAAGATGGGATACACAAGTTTGAAAATGATACATAGTTTTTTTCGAAGTTTGTCAACATAGAGTTTACATTAAGAGTATTTATGTGAGAAACTCCAACTAATGAAATTTGAGAAATTATCAAAGTCATGAACATTCGGAATAACATTTTCAATACGTGGTTTAGTAAGAAATAAAAATAAAGCCACGTTGAATGTGAAAACGAAAAGTCAATACATCTAAAAACATGTTTGCTGCCTGTAAAGAGTAAAGCACACCACTTTGAAAACCACACAAAAGAAGTCATTTAAAACAGTTAAGATAAAAAAAAAGTTTTTAACATGTGCAGTTAAAAGTATACGTTTATCCCAACCTTGCATAGCAATACGCCAGCAAATCGTTTTTTGGACTTTTTTTTTTATAGTCATGATTAGAAAAACACTGAATTTGAGTGAACCAGTAATATAAAGCTACTCACCTGTAGTGCACACTGAATATTAGTGAACCAGTACCATAAATTTGAGTGAACTAGTAATATGAAGTTACTCACCTGTAGTGCACACAGTAACCAAAGTAGGTCAGGTACAACGCGAACAGAGTGATCTTGAAGGCCAAGGTCGCCTTCTTCTTGTGCTGGTTCCAGAGCTGGTTGAGCCACACCTCCACCACCTCCACACCCCTGCTACACCTCCCGTGGGGGTAGAGCACCAAATCTCTAGCACTCTCCGTCTCAATGAAAACTTCCGCTTCCGGATGAGTGTCGTCTGCGGAGTGGAAGATGGTGCCGTTTTTCTTCTCCTTTTTGTCCGCTTCAACTAAATCAATTCCATTTTTCTCGCACGGTGACCCCATAGTTAAGTCTAGCGTTGTTACGATCAATGGTAAATGTTTTTTTTTTCCTTTCTCACGAGCTATTTATTTAAAGTCCTTATTTGAAGTCCTTATTTTAAGTCCTCACGATCAAAAATAAAACGTTTGTTTTTCTCTATTCTTTCTCACCAAATATTTTATTGTAAGTCGTATCGCTCTGATACAAAAATTATGATTTTTCTTTGTTTCTTCTCGAAGGTAAGTTGATGGATTCTCAACTCACTGAACTGGAATACAAATAAAACAAGTTAATAAAAAGTCTAGTGACAATTTAAGCGCAATTTCCTTATGTTATCTAAAAATAGCTATGTCGTAGCGTAAAGCACACACGGGGACAAAACACAAGACGTATAATGCTGGGGTGCGTTCAAGCTAGGAGAACGATCGGTTTGTAGGTGTTTATGTAATTTTAAAAACATTTTTGTGACCGAACGAAAGGATATTTTTGAAAACTTTCTTCGGCAATATTGTTTTAAATTATGGCAGGAATCGATTGGTAAATGTTTCAAGTCGCTAAGTGGTCTGGTTGCCGAGATATGGGCCAAAAACGGCATTTTCCCGAGGTTTTTTTTACTTTTCCGGGAAATCCAGGAAGGAATTCCGGGAATTTTTTTGGCCCACAATCATCCTCGGAACTTGCTTAACAAATTTGCTTTTGAAACTAGTCCTCGATATTGCTTCGTTGAGGAGGAGATACGACTTAAAGCTGCGGACACACATCCATCCATCCATCCAGAAATGACGCATTATTAAACGCAATTGTCAGTATGGAAATTGCGCTAAAAATAACTAGTTATTAAACTCATTCGTAGGTTATATAATTTTAAGTTACAATTGATTGATTGCTTACAAAAACAAATTTTATTTAAATATAAAAAACATTAACATTTATACTTGACGTGGATAAAATAAAATATCTTTTAAATACATCTTTCGCAAACTCCAGATAGGTGTCAAATAATCTAGCTAGATTTAGTTTTTTTTTTACTACATTTTCTAACTGCCTTATGAATGTCAAGACATCGTTGAATTAAAATTAAAGTACTAAACTAAAACAAATTATTTTACAAAATTTAGGAGACTGCATAAGTTGAACTAGATCAAGTTTTGGTACTACTCATTTTAACCACGACTATAGACCATTAGAAATAAACATCAAATTTACCTTTTTAACAATTTATCACATAAATGAGAAAAAAACAACATATTTTTCAAAAAATCACATCAATATCTTCCATTTTAATCAAATTATCCTTCATATCAAATATAACAAATAAAATAGTAGGCCTATGTGTTGGATGCAATTAGGAAAAGCTTGTGTATAGCTCGCTTCAATCTTCTAATGATTTGATGAAGCTCATTGAACTAATTGCGTTGACCACGTGAACAGGTGATCAATAAAGTAACACCTGCTCACCTGTGATGTAATGGTGTCAACTCTAACGCCTCGTTGGTCCTAGTGTATGAACAAACAACATTCAGCTGGTAGGACACGAGAGGTGGAGGACACGAGAGGTGTAGGACACGAGAGGTGGAGGACATGAGAGGTTTAGGACACGAGAGGTGGAGGACACGAGAGGTGGAGGACACGAGAGGTGGAGGACACGAGAGGGGGAGGACACGAGAGGTGTAGGACACGAGAGGTGGAGGACACGAGAGGTATAGGACACGAGAGGTGGAGGACACGAGAGGTGGAGGACACGAGAGGTGTAGGACACGAGAGGTGGAGGACACGAGAGGGGGAGGACACGAGAGGTGTAGGACACGAGAGGTGGAGGACACGAGAGGTGGAGGACACGAGAGGTGGAGGACACGAGAGGTGTAGGACACGAGAAGTGGAGGACACGAGAGGTGTAGGACACGAGAGGTGGAGGACACGAGATGGGTAGGACACGAGAAGTGGAGGACACGAGAGGTATAGGACACGAGAGGTGGAGGACACGAGAGGTGGAGGACACGAGAAGTGGAGGACACGAGAAGTGGAGGACACGAGAGGTGGAGGACACGAGAAGTGGAGGACACGAGAGGTGTAGGACACGAGAGGTGGAGGACACGAGAGGTGTAGGACACGAGAAGTGGAGGACACGAGAGGTGTAGGACACGAGAAGTGGAGGACACGAGAGGTGTAGGACACGAGAGGTGGAGGACACGAGAGGTGTAGGACACGAGATGGGTAGGACACGAGAAGTGGAGGACACGAGAGGTATAGGACACGAGAGGTGGAGGACACGAGAGGTGTAGGACACGAGAAGTGGAGGACACGAGATGGGTAGGACACGAGAAGTGGAGGACACGAGAAGTGGAGGACACGAGAGGTATAGGACACGAGAAGTGGAGGACACGAGAGGTGGAGGACACGAGAAGTGGAGGACACGAGAGGTGTAGGACACGAGAGGTGTAGGACACGATAGGTGGAGGACACGAGAGGTGTAGGACACGATAGGTGGAGGACACGAGAGGTGGAGGACACGAGAGGTGGAGGACACGAGAGGTGGAGGACATTCAGCAGGTAGGACATGAGAAGTGGAGGACACGAGAGGTGTAGGACACGTGAGGTGGAGGACACGAGAGGTGTAGGATACGAGAGGTGGAGGACACGAGAGGTGTAGGACACGAGAAGTGGAGGACACGAGAGGTGTAGGACACGAGAGGTGTAGGACACGAGAGGTGTAGGACACGAGAGGTGTAGGACACGAGAGGTGTAGGACACGAGAGGTGGAGGACATTCAGCATGTAGGACACGAGAGGTGTAGGACACGAGAGGTATAGGACACGAGAGGTGGAGGACACGAGAGGTGTAGGACACGAGAGGTGTAGGACACGAGAAGTGGAGGACACGAGAGGTGGAGGACACGAGAGGTGTAGGACACGAGAAGTGGAGGACACGAGAGGGGGAGGACACAAGAGGTGGAGGACACGTGAGGTGTAGGACACGAGAGGTGGAGGACACGAGAGGGGGAGGACACGAGAGGTGGAGGACACGAGAGGTGGAGGACACGAGAGGTGGAGGACACGAGAGGTGTAGGACACGAGAGGTGGAGGACACGTGAGGTGTAGGACACGATAGGTGGAGGACACGAGAGGTGGAGGACACGAGAGGTGTAGGACACGAGAGGTGGAGGACACGTGAGGTGGAGGACACGTGAGGTGTAGGACACGAGAGGTGGAGGACACGAGAGGGGGAGGACACGAGAGGTGTAGGACACGAGAAGTGGAGGACACGAGAGGTGTAGGACACGAGAGGTGTAGGACACGAGAGGTGTAGGACACGAGAGGTGTAGGACACGAGAGGTGGAGGATACGAGAGGTGGAGGACACGAGAGGTGGAGGACACGAGAGGGGGAGGACACAAGAGGTGGAGGACACGAGAGGTGTAGGACACGAGAGGTGTAGGACACGAGAAGTGGAGGACACTAGAGGTGGAGGACACGAGAGGTGGAGGACATGATAGGGAGAAGATACGAGAGGTGGAGGACACGAGAGGTGTAGGACACTAGAGGTGGAGGATACGAGAGGTGTAGGACACGAGAGGTGGAGGAGACGAGAGGTGGAGGTAACGAGAGGTGTAGGACACGAGAGGTGGAGGACACGAAAGGTGTAGGACACGAGAGGTGGAGGAGACGAGAAGTGGAGGTAACGAGAGGTGTAGGACACGAGAAGTGGAGGACACGAGAGGTGTAGGACACGAGAGGTGGAGGACACGAGAGGTGTAGGACACGAGAGGTGGAGGACACGAGAGGTGGAGGACACGAGAGGTGTAGGACACGAGATGGGTAGGATACGAGAAGTGGAGGACACGAGAGGTATAGGACACGAGAGGTGTAGGACACGAGAGGTGGAGGACACGAGAGGTGGAGGACACGAGAGGTGTAGGACAAGAGAAGTGGAGGACACGAGAGGGGGAGGACACAAGAGGTGGAGGACACGAGAGGTGTAGGACACGAGAGGTGTAGGACACGAGAGGTGTAGGACACGAGAAGTGGAGGACACGAGAGGTGGAGGACACGAGAGGTGTAGGACACGAGAAGTGGAGGACACGAGAGGTGTAGGACACGAGAGGTGGAGGACACGAGAGGTGTAGGACACGAGAGGTGGAGGACACGAGAGGTGTAAGACACGAGAGGTGGAGGACACGAGAGATGTAGGACACGAGAGGTGGAGGACACGCGAGGTGTAGGACACGAGAGGTGGAAGACACGAGAGGTGGAGGACACGAGAGGTGGAGGACACGAGAGGTGGAGGACACGAGAGGTGGAGGACACGAGAGGTGTAGGACACGAGAGGTGGAGAACACGAGAGGTGGAGGACATGATAGGTGGGAGTTGTCTCTGTCACAATCAACGTTTGTGTACAAGTTGAGTTCACTAAACCAAACCTATTAGACCACAGGGTAGCTCACATGTAACATGCCCCACAAGTAGAGTTTACTAAACCACACCACTAGACACCACTTGACACCACTAGACACCACTAGACACCACTAGACACCACTAGACACCACTAGACTACAGCCTGCAGCAACAAGTCGCTGACTCCACACATGACATGGAGCATGTTATTGACTTCTGTTTACATGTTATGATACTTTTTTTTAAGCTTCCGACGATTCTCCGACGATTCTCAAACTGTTTTGATCAAAATTTTGCGTCTATTTTAAAAATGTATGATTCACTACGATTACTGGCCAGCTTTGGTTAGGGGTTTCGACAAAATGCTTTAGTGCTGACTGCTGACCTTTGCACTATTTTAAAATTAGCGTATTTGGTTTATCCATCCACTAACACATTCACAATATTCTATTAGTGTTACATAAAAAAAAAATGTTACGGCTCTTGAAATAAGATTGATTGTTTAAATATAAATAGACACTCGAATGTAAATTCTTTAAGACATTGGTATATTGTGTTTAAAACTATAAGACTTCTACAAACTTGATAAATGCTTTAATCGACCAACAGCCGAACTTTAAAAACAAAATATCTTGTTTATCTAACGCATGCGTATTGAATGTAGGCCTACTACGATTTTAAATTAACGAATGATAATGATTTGTTAAATTATATGCAAAGGTTACTTTTTGCTAAATTTATAATTTAAAATATGCCTTTGGTCAGTTTTGATAATTTTTCAAAGTGACGGAGTTATTGCTAACTCCAAAGGTCCCAATATCTGACCCCCGGGAAGATGAGATTAACTGGGGACGTTAACCCATCTAGATGTGGAAACTAAAAAATCAAACATCTGATGCCTTTACCGACTGTTCTTTGCTTGACAAAGGCTATAGAGACAAATCCGGAAAGAAAAGCAGGCTGAAGTCAGAGTCAGCAGTTTATTCGCGATTACATGTTAACATGTAATAATTTGTGTTGGAGTAAAAAGTACTTCAATATTACAATTAAAAGAACGAAGAGGTTTTTCCGACTAGCTGTTTATATTTTGGGTCTTTTCAGGGTACTTGGCTTGACTCCACGAACTTATGGGTTGTTGTCGTCGATTTTTGGAAATTGCAATGCTTGCTTCTATAGATTATATGCTCGCATTAGGTAATCGCTACATTAATGCTTGCATTAGGTAATCGCTACATTAATGCTTGCATAAGGTAATCGCTACATTAATGCTCGCATAAGGCAATTCTTTCTCGCGAATAATATTCAACCCTTCAGTGAGGTCAGCTATAAATTATTATGTAATAAGCTCCTGGCGCCATACTGACCCACATGCATGTCTTAAACTAGATATTGTGAAATATTTTCAAGGATGCTAGAGTTGACAAGACTTGCCCCAAAGAACAAACAGCCTACCCGCACACACGTGCTTTGAACTACGCTTTCCACACTTGACTTATTTTATCATAATTTTCATTAAAAGCACCGGCATAATGTTGTCGGATCTTTACTACACAAAAATAAAACGGTCGTTTGTTCTCAAAATTTCATGTATAGATATTTACATACCGCTACAGTTTTTGTATTCTTTAATAGCTGTATGGATGTTGCAACTGTCCCATTTGGTCTGCTGATGTCATGGAAAAATTTCATTGGTTAGATTGTATTCGCCCAGCTTAATTAGATGTACATACTTGCAAAAGGTTGAGCCCCCTCCCCCTTCTCACCCCGTACCGAGCTGTTATTGTGTGGAAAAGTTCAAAGTTGTGCCAGGTTTGAAATGGAGGGTAAAGAGGGGGCGGGGGGCGTGGGTAAGGAGGGGACATATTGTTTTGGACGAGAAAAAAAGAGAGAGAGAGAGGCATTGGAAA